AGACATCTAGATCTCAACAAGATCAACCAACCACTAGATGAGAGTTCGCTTATTCAACATCGATCGCGTCCCGCTAGATCTCGATAGTTCTGCGACACTTAGGATTATTCTAATTCATTTTCAGATCAAATTGTCGGCATTCTGAACGAAGATCATTGACGTCTCTTCAAACTCTCCAAACTACTGTCATGGCCAACCAGAAAAAGAAGACAAAGCAGCAGCCCACCAATAAGGCAACCAGTGCAAAATCTAAAGATGACTCTGAATCTCAGCCTGGTATGGTTGTTCAGGAAGCTTTCATCAAGAAAGCAAGAAACCGCTTGCTGACGTTCGTTTTTTGCAATGCAGGAAATCGCAGGCGTAAGAAGGGTACATTAGATCTCTCTAAATATCAATTTGATGGCGACTCCAAACAGCTTGAACGTGCGTTACTCAAGCTTGGTCTCAGAATCAAAGGTAAATTGAACCCAATATTTGTTTTTGATTTTTTGAACGAGCTCTAACGCCTTTTACTCAAACAAAGACATGACTGGAGATGGAAACTGTCTATTCCGATCCCTTTCTGATCAAATATACGGCAGCCCAGTAGAGCATTTCAACATCAGAACTCGTGTGGTTCAACACATTCGACAGAATCGTGTTTTATATGAGCCGTTTTTAGCTATAGAAGAGGAGGGTGGATTTGATGCTCATGTTTCCAGGTAATTTGGGAAATGCATGTGTTGTTTTAAGGTTGGAAGTTGTAGCATTTCATGAAGGACTTGCAGGCCTTACATCTCACTGGGTCTTGTACTCTCATATTATCAAAATACCTCACATGTCTTTACTCTAGGATGGGAAGAGATGGCTGTTATGGTGGAAACCATGAAATCGTGGCCTGTGCTCGAGATTTCAATGCTTTTGTGATGGTTCACCAAGCTGATGGTCCTGTTTGGATTATACAGCCTGATGACACAAGAGAAACGCAAGGAGAGCGATTGCGATTGCATATTGCGTATCATTCATGGGAGCACTAGTAAGGATCTGTCTAGCTTAGGAAACTGAATGAATGTATCTGCTAATTCTGAGTCGCTTTGCTAGTTCATCTGTTCGAAACATTGATGGTCCACTTGACGGAATACCAAACATCGTAATCAAAGTGCAAGAAACGCCAAATACGTCATCTTCATCTTCATCTACAAACAAACCTGATGAATCGAATGGACCACCGACAAGTCTGGAAATCATGATTATGAGATCAGTCGGTGTTGACTCGTTAGAACGAGTGCGAGCTAAACTGAAGGCATGTCGTGGAGACCCGAATAGAACTATAAATGAACTATTTGAAGAGCTGGAAAAGGAAGATTTGAATGAAGTGCTGGAAGAAACAGCAGCAATAACGACAGATTTGAAAGCAAGTCCCGCTGGAGACGATGATGTAGTATGCCAAGATCAACCGGTACACAGGTCGGATGAGCAGGCAATGACTGATGCTGTAGAAGCTCAACCAACACCCAATACTATAGAATCATCAGCATTAGAACCGCCGAAAGTAGATTTACCTCAAGTAGAATCGACACCGACATCGTCATCTAGCACCGATAATAAAGAAAAGAGAATCTCTGGACGTGACAAGAAGGAAGCAACTAAAAAAGCTCGAAAACAGGCTGCAAAGGACAAGAAACGTAAAGGACCTGCGTCAAACCAAGTTGCCAACAGCAACAATAGACCAGTCGGGACTATCGTTGACGGGATGAATGCCATATCTATATAAAACATTTGCACATAACACACTTGCACATATTTATCTATAGCAAAAAACACCCGTCACTGTAATATTAAATCCTCATAATATAAGAACGATGATCTTTATGCCAAATGGTGTTTTACAAGTCTTCTGGACGGGAATCGCCCTTGATTTCGAGCAATTCGACATCAAAGACTAGAGTTGCACCTCCTGGTATGCTTCCACCTGCACCTCGGTCACCATAACCAAGACTGGGTGGTATAGTGAGCTTCCTCTTCTCGCCAACACACATTCCTAGCAATCCTTGATCCCAGCTTTGGGAATAGGAGAATATTCATGTCAGTCCAATGGGAGGTCAAAGTGTTTTGAGATTCGCAATCTCCGTACCCCTTTATAACCTGACCAGCTCCAAGAGTAAACTCAAAGGGTGAGTTCCTGTCCAATGAGGAGTCGAATTTCTTGCCGTCCAACAATTTGCCAGTGTAGTGCATGGAGAGTTTGTCTCTGTTGAAATAAATGCAAAAGAAGGGGAGAGAGATTGTCAGGAATCGACGGAGCATCAACCAGAATTCAAGAATGGCTGGTGTTGATATCTTTGGAATGAGATTGTTTCAGGAATCGACGAGACATCAACCGGAAAACAAGAAATGTATAATGTCGATGTCCTTCTGGCGAGACACCACAAGAGTTGAGATAGACCACTTCTAACGCAGCCGTACCCTTTCTTGGATTGCCTGGTGCACACCTCAGGCTTGTGCTTCACTCCAATCTGCAGCTGCTCCTTGCAGAAAACTAGAATAATCAACAGCTTGTGAGTTTGTGTATTTGAGAGCCTTGTTTCAATGATTGCATGCTTACCAAAAGCCACAAACAGTACTAGAAATACAGCCAATAGTAGAGAAATACGCGCCATGTTTGCCTGTTAGGATGTTTCAACAAAAGCTCAAACGTTTGAAGGTTGCAAGTGCGATGGCAAGGCTATGGAGATATGGAGTACTGGAACGAAAGCGAAAGAAGTATATCCGGGATATGAACGTGACAAAATTAGTATTCCTGTCGGTCAGACGCGTCAAAATGGTCTAGTCTTTGCTGAGGTGGTTTCGCAAAGTTGGGTGATCTTTGAGTTAACTAGGCGGTAAGTCTCTAACGTTTTCATAGATCTATGTACGCAGTGCGAATAAGAACACGATGCTTCTGTACTTTGGCTCTTTCTGAACTCTCTTCGCGTCGCTGAACGACTCGCAAATCTCAGCCACTGACTATTTTCAACTCTTTTTGCTGTCTTGAAAATCTAGGAAAAATAGGCCTCGACTGAACATGGATCTAGGACTCTAGTTGTCATAGTCTTCTGCCAATTTACAGGTTTGGCGGTTGCGTTTTGGCATTCTGGCAGCAAAACTCAGAGCTCACACATTGTTTCACTGTTTTAGGCCCATTCACCTCAACCCGGGTCGTGTTTGATACCCACTGATTCCTACTAAATATCCCTAACTCTGCAGAGCTGGTCTCTCTCCTGCTGGCTTCATACCTACATCTCGCTCAGATCGCCAACATCAGCCATGAGCACCAGTAGTCCTGCACCAGTCCTCAATAGAGCTCAGAAACCCCCCAGCACGCCCAACACCCATATATCAACCTCCACATCATCGTATAAATCAGATACGTTGTCATCAACACACTCGAGTCGAGAAGTCCTGAAAAACACAAACCATAAAATCAAACCCTCAAAGCCAACAACCACAACTGTGGTCTTCCATAAGGGCAAGCACACGTCACGGACTGCAGAGTTTGGTGGTGCTGGTGGTCTCGCAACTGCTAACGGCACACTACCGAGCACGAGACACAAACGAAGTGGATCTGACGACGATACAGCATCACTAGGCACTACAGCAACCATATCATCTATATCCTCATCATCAACAACCACAACCGGTAAATACTCTCATCATGCTGCAGCATCAGCTGGATCAATACCCAGTATAGAGTCGCCAGTCCCTGCTATGCGATGGACGAGGATAACTCCAATGGGAAACGTACCGCCACGACCTGTTAGGGCACATACGATGACGCTTGTTGGAGAGAAACTGTATCTGTTTGGAGGATGTGACAACTCTGAATGTTTTCCGGATTTATGGATTTTTGATTCAGAGACAATGTCGTGGAGCAAACCTATAACGAGGGGAACTTTGCCTGATCCTACGAGGGCGCATTCGGCTAGTTTGATTGAAAAGAAATTGTACATGTTCGGTGGTATGTTTGCCATACTGCAATAGTTCGCCATTTGTCATCTTTTTTTTGCGAGTGTCAGCAGGCTTGAAATGTATTCTTTTTGTGCTAACACAGTCTTTTGATGACTAGGTGGTGACGGTCCAAACTATTACAACTCCCTATATGTGCTAGACACTACGACACTAACATGGACCAAACCAATAATATCAGGTGGCTCGCCAGGTCCACGACGAGCCCACACAACTTGGGTGTACGATAACCGTTTATACGTATACGCAGGTGGCGACGGTGTCAGAGCCCTGAACGACGTCTACGTCCTGGACCCAGCAGCATCCACCCCAGCGTGGTCTAAACTCGCAACAACAGGCCGATCACCAGTTCCCAGAGGCTACCATACATCCACACTGGTTGGATCAACAGTCGTCGTATACGGAGGAAGTGATGGGCACGAGTGCTTCTCGGATATACATCTACTAGATCTAGGAACATCGTCAAACACTTGGCGACAAGTCGATACCGATAGGCCGATACCACGATTGTCACATACTGCTACACAGGTTGGATCATATCTGTTTGTTATGGGTGGCCACGATGGTGTGAGATACTCGAGTGAGATTCTGTTGCTGAATCTTGTTACATTGGGATGGGAGACACGTAAGATATTAGGTGGGCCGCCAAAGGGGAGGGGATATCATACTGCTGTTATGCATGATTCGCGATTGTTTGTGTTTGGAGGGTATGATGGGGAATCTGTGTTTTCTGACATGTATGTAGTTGCTATCCTTCTTTTTTCTTATTCTCCAACGGTGTGAATTGCATTGATTACGTGTTTGCTCACACAACCTTTGATATTCCCAAATGTTATTTCAGGTGGATTTTAGATTTGGGAGCTTTTGCATACTTGCCACAGATTACTTCCTTCCAAGTTGGCATGAGCCCGTAAATGTCGCTCTTGCCTTGTGTATATATAATAATACATTGTTTGATCTAGTTTGCTTAACTGCTTGTTGTGGTGAACGAGTGGTCCGGTTGTGATACGGGCGAAAAAGCTCATGAAAGTAACTACCAATAAGTGCGCGTTTATGCACTCTCATAACCATCCATTTGAAACATTCAGTGAACAACCTGGATCATATTGAAAACGATCAATGTATTAAGAAAAAGGGAGGCAAACGATTGTCCCTATAAACTCCACCCAATTCCCCCCCCCTCCCCCCCCCACATCCACCACCACCACCACCTCTCACAGCTTCGCCCCCTTCTTCATCGCCTCCAGCGCCCTCAAATCCTTCCTCAAAATCTTCCCAGACGGATTCCTTGGTATCGCCGCAATAAACTCTACACCGCCCTTTAACCGTTTGTGTGGCGCCACCTTTCCCTCCATGAATGAAATAATCTCACTCGGCACCAGACTGATGTTGGGCTTTGGCACGATGAATGCTTTCGGGACTTCGTCAGAGTAGTCGTCGTGAATGCCTATGACGGCCACGTCAGCGACTTTGGGGTGTGTGAGGAGGAGGGCTTCGAGTTCTAGAGATGAGGTGTTGTTAGGAGGAGGACGACGAGGGAATGGTCCATTTGAGATGTTACTTACCAGCTGGAGCGACTTGGAAGCCTTTAACTTTGATCAATCTAAAACAGATGTTGTAAGATTCCTACCAAACAGCCAAAATATCATGGTAATGTTTTCTCATACTCTTTCAGCCTGTCTGTGATGTAAAAGTTGCCTGACGCATCAACCTACAAGAGAGACAACGAGTTACAGATTCAACCTGCACAAACTCAAAAAACGTAAGAATTTAACCTTGGCAATATCACCTATTGCAAAAAATTTCTGTTGTGAGCTTTAAGGCCAACAAAAACACACCACAGCACAATGCACACACATACGCACCAGTCATGAGCCACCCATCTGGTGTAATAGTATTCCGTGTTGCTTCTTGGTTATTATGGTACCCAAGCATAATGTTAGGTCCCTTCATCCACAATTCCTATGCCAAAAAACCCTGTGTTACAGGTGTACTCAATATGCACAACCACAATCATCCACTCACCCCCTCCTCGTCAACACCCAGCTCCTCTCTTCCATCAACAGACACGATCTTGGCACTCATATTCGGAATCAGCTTCCCACAACTGGCAACAATAATCCCGGTATCGGGACTTATATGCGATACGGGACTCGACTCGGTCATTCCATACGCCTGTTTAATAAGCGTATTATAATTCGTATTAATATAAGTTTACTCCACGTATTCCTATTGAACTCGACTCGGTCATTCCGTACCTGCTTGATAGGAATGTGTGTCTTTTCGTAAAGTTCTTGCGCCACGTCCCCTCCAAGTGGAGCAGCGCCACAGATGAGCATGCGTATAGAGGAGACATTGTAGGATGAGACGATTGGGTTTTTGGCCATTTGGATTGCGACCGGTGGTGCGCCTATGAAAATAAATAAATAAATAAGTTGATTTTTTTTTGTATGAAACTCCTTTGGTCCATAAAATATATCAAGTTGAGGGTTTACGTATAGAACTCCCTTGTTGAAACGATGAAAGTAAGGTATTATACGTACAGTGGACGTGTGAGACAGAGTATTTCTGTACAGCTTCTAGGAATTGGACGAGATCGAATTTGGGCATGACGATAACGGCGATTCCTTTTGCTATTGAGCCGTGGACAATCCTATAATGTAAATGATTAGTGGCGAAAGTAAGGAAGATTTTGGTCTCAGTGGATGGAAGACAACATACCATGTAAGTGCATATATATGATAGAACGGCAGGAACCCCATCCACACGTCTCCGATTCTATAATCTTGCTCGCAGGCCATGACTTGCGATACGTCTGCGACCATGTTATAGTGGGATGTCATGACACCTAACCCAAAAAAAGTTTGTAATTCATGAAATGTAATCAACACATGGTATACAACATCCCACATGCAAACAATGCCATGCATGGTATGCAATATCCCATATATAGACAGCAACACCCGTCAACCAGCTCATACCTTTCGCAACACCAGTCGTCCCCGACGAATAGCACAAATACGCAACAGTCTTTTTGGCAGCATCCCCAGCCAGCACGACGTGCGGCGACACCTCATCACTAAATATCTGATCAAGGCCTTTGAAACCCTGTGCGCCTTGCGGTGAGATTAAGAATATGTTTGATTTGGCTAGGCCAGCGGATTCGGATGCAGATACAGCGTTTCCTATAAAGTCGGTTTGGGTGACCAAGTACTTGCAACCCGCGTTTTGCAGCTGGTAGGCGAGTTCTTTGGGCGTGTAGGTTGGATTTGCGGGTGAGATTATGCCCTAAGAGATGGGGAGTGTGAGTGCCACATCATCATCATCAACAAAGAAGCTCCAGTCGCAACATAGTCATCAAGTCCAAAACAAGAATACGAAATATGGAAGTATGATAGCTTACACCGAGCTTGAGAACACTAAAGAGTATGGTAGGATAGTCGACATTGTTCTGACAGAAGACACCCATTACATCGCCCCTCTTAAAGCCCAGTTTGGTCAACCCCGCGGCAAACTTGTCGATTCTCTCCTTCATGATTCCATAAGTATACGAAATGTGGCCATTGGGAGAATCGTAGATGAGAGCTTTCTGGGATGCCTTTTTTGCAAAGTCTGGGGATTTGAAGAGAAATGAGTATACGTCGACCTCAGGGATGGATATTTTGGGGTGCTGGGAGTGAAATATGGTCATTGTGATGTCAGTTCTATGGCTCTCTATGAGTCTCTATATGTAAATAGTTGGTTGAGAAAGTTGGAGTTTGATAAGTGTGACCATTACGTGAGCATGAAGTAAGCACATGTAGCTCACAAAGTTGCAGCTTGTGTGGTCCAGCTCTAATCGCTACAATTAATCGGCATGTCGGCTCTCATTGCCAGATTCGGCGAGGTACTCCGCAAAAAGGAAACACGGGACTATTTCATGAGGTAATATAATTTCCACTCGATTCCATCAACCAGCAATGTCGAATCCTTGTATCTTTGGCCCTTTGGAAAGCTAACTCACCAGTACACGATATTTTATAGTACTCATTTCTGGGGCCCAGTAAGTCCTCTCCTTCCTACCATTCAAGCAGTATCATGGCCTTCAACATGAAACATCAAAACTAATTCCCACACATTCACAGGTTGCCAACTGGGGATTGCCACTAGCTGCGATAGCAGACATCAAAAAGAGTCCAGAGTTCATTAGTGGCAAAATGACTACTGGTACACATACATACCCCACCTCTTTCATCCATGACACTCTGACATACTCACAAACCATACACAACAGCTCTCATTCTATACTCGGCACTATTTATGCGATTCGCTTGGGTCGTCATACCGAGGAATTACCTCCTCATGGCAGTACATGTTGTCAATGAGGGCTGTCAACTTACTCAGATGTATCGCTTTGTCCAGTGGGAGTATAGAGGCGGCAAGGAGAAAGGTCGGCATGAGTGAAACTATAATGTATCTCTGTGTGTGTGTGTGCATAAACTAACATACAATTCATATATAGGTTGGACTGCACCAGATCAAGCAACTGCAACCAAATTCTAAACCGCACGCAAATACCCTTCTTTATACAGGGATATCCCGTTGATCTTTTTCTTGTACAAAAAGGATATGAAATACAGCAGGAAATATCATATACAACAACAACATAGTGCTTTAGATCCGCCTTTTGGTCATCACCTTCCCCAGACCTCTCCCTGTTTCATGACTCACTCAAGCCACGTCCTCGTATAGGTGTGTTGCGTCAATCCATATTCTCCTCCACTACCAGGAAACGGATAGTCCAGCGCAGGAGACAGTGGGTTTTGCAGTAGCACTGGGCACGGTGGAACCAGTGTTGATGGTGATTCCATCAGGTATGGTTGATTGGGACTCGACATGGACGATGTAACGACCGTCTGTGTCATGGGTACTTGTTGGACTTCCAGTACGACTGGTATTAGGAAATTCTGAGGTTTTAAAAACGGGACTGCTGTTAGTTTGACTTGCTAATGCTGCGCGAACTGTGGCAGTTCTTACGGGTCGTGACGAAACAATAGTTGGATTCCTTTGTGGCAGTACTGAATTAATTTCGGGTTGTGATGTGGTTATGCGTTTTTGGTGCTGCATCGATGCTCTCCGAGTGAGATATCGTTTGATCAGGATTGCAGCACTGATGAGAATGACGAGGCCAGCGACGGATCCGACTACGATAGCAGCACTGAAGAGTAGTAATGATGAGTTAGGTTTAGATGCTGCGTTCGTCAATTATTGATAAGTGCATGTTGCCTGTGATTTTTAGCGAAAAGAGTAAAGTACAAAGTTGCAGTTTCACTCACATGGTCAGATTCATATCAGTGGTGTTATCAGCTTGTGGATACTGTGCATACGCTAGTGACCCGATTCAAATAGAAAATTAGTTTACTCTTGACCGGGTTTTCAGTTTCATCAAATTGTACGCAAAGTGGTATTTAATGCCTCACCTAGCCTCAACGAGCACAAGAACACAGCTAATACGGCCAACATTCTATATAGTAAGATACAGTGTCGTGGCTTTCAACTACTTTTCAATGGGTTGGTTGTGATTGACGTAAAAATTAAAATCAGTGTTGAGCTTTCGATATGAGAAGTTTTGACCGGGATTTTTTTAGGGTTGCAAAGCAGAACGTGATCCTTCAAAGTGGTGTACAATAAAAAACGTTATTTGAAAGCAATAATACGCCGGTTGGGATGCTGGTCAGCTCTTACGAGATGAAAAAAAGTTGTATTCTGTCTACCACCATCTGTCAATCACCATCTAATAACTGCATACAAAACCAACTGATCACTGCCGTGTCTATCGCTGTACAAACAATCTCGTCTTACCTTCCACCCTCCTCTCACATCCATCCCCATTCTTCCCACCCACATAATTCACAGGCGTCAAAGCGACCCCCCTCGTAACAAACGAATCAACATTATCCATTGCTTGGCTCTCATACTCCTCTAACGTCTCAACACTTGCACCACCAATATGGCATATAGCCGTTACTCGAGGATGATTGCGTAAGAAATCAGGAACGTGTGGCTCATGTTCGAAAACGTCGAGTCCTGCTGCGAATACTTTTCCGGTTTTCAGGGCATTCATGAGAGCGGATTCATTGATGATTGCTCCCTAGCGAGACATGAGATGTCATAGGCCTGAATACTAAATGTTATGTCAGGGACAGGACATACTCTGGCAGTATTCACAATCCTCACACCATCCCTCATCATCTCAAACTCTCGATCCCCAATCATATGACGGCTTTCAGCAGACAGTGGCACATGCACAGATATACAGTGCGATGTGGATATCAGTTCGTCAAAAGACACGTAATGGATGCCGAGTTCCTTTTCTTTGTGAGCAGGTAGACGTGTGCGTTTGTAATATATGACATTCATTCCAAATGCTTGAGCCTTCTTGGTAACGTCTTTGCCAATGCAGCCGTAGCCGAGTATACCGAGCGTTTTGCCTTTGGGGTCCTAGTAGAGCGATGCATACATAGTGTTGAGAGTGAAGCAAAAGCAGTAGTAATATTGGGTAATGGTGGAGATGTTGCATACATTTCCAAGATCCTTTGGCATTCGAAACGATTCTTTGAAAGTACCTTCTCGGATAATTTTTTGGGCGGTGTGAGTGTTTCGGAATGTTGCCAGTAGCAAGAACATGGTAATGTCTTGTGGTGATCATGCCAAATAGTAGTTAGATGGCGAAGAATGAATCTAGTTTCATTCTGAGGAGTTCTTTTTACCTGCAGTAGCAGTGGAAACCTCAGCCTTCGTAAGCAAGATTCCACGTCTCGTCATTTCATCAACATCACAATCCTCATAGCCTATTATCCAACAAAGAAAGCATTTTCGTTCGAAACAGCGTTCGAAACAGCTTGAATACACGATGCCTCCACATACCAGCAGAGACACTAACAACCAACTCCACATCTCTCCCAACAGCATCGAGCCATTCAGCATCAACACCCTCAGAATCAGTAACTCTTACACCGCCATACAGAGTCTTGATAATGACTTTGACACGATCATATTTGCCAGATCGACAGGATTCCAGAAAGTCAGCACGGGTGGGCTCGTCGGCTACCAAGAGCGTGTATGTGGAAGCCAGACGGGATTCTATGTGGGTAGAGAAGGACAAGTGTCCGAGAATAAGGATTTTGATGTGTTTGAATGCCATCTAGAGTGGTGATGATGTGTTAGTGGCGTTTGGCCGTTGTGGGTGATGAATGGAAGGTTGAGATGTGATGGTGCTCTTGTGAGATGATGATCGTGCTCCGTAATATGAGGTTTGGTCTCTCTCCATCCAACTAGAACATGTCAAAAAGGAAACAACAAATATGTCACAACAGTTCAAAAGATGAAGTCTTAACATGTTGTATCGATGAATCACTCACCACGATAATTATATGATGCCAAAGGTGCAGAATCAGAGTTTCTTATTTTGATTGTTTGATATTTGGACATTTCAGCCTATTCTTCCTCGCGAAAACAGCTCATTTGGCCAAACTTTGACAGTTCGGACAAGCCTGGTCAAGAGCAGAAGAATGTAGAGCGGAAACATGTCAAAATTCTTTTCGGTCCAGCGGGAAAGCGTCGAATTTGCGGTTCAGGAGGTTATAACAGTCATGGTCCAACAGGGAGGAACCAACATAACTGAAAAACACGCAGATTGACATTCAGATGTCATCAGAGGTTGCAGTGGATCTGAAAACGACGTGAATGTTAGTTTCGTATGGTTAACAATAAAATTAAAGCTGTTGAGAGTGTCTTCCAAGTAGATTGAGTTGGTAAGAACGCCACGACACGCTACGGCTCGTTTTTGCGACACAACACCTTTTATCTAAACGAAACCCAACACAAAACTACTTTGAATGCTTTAGTATTCCACTTTTATTTCCACTCTCCACCACTATTCTATACTTTGGACGTGTTTGATGGAGATGGATTGTTTACAGGTGTCAGAGCAACACCTCTAGTGATAAAAGCCTCACAATTATCAGCCGCTTGCCCTTCATACTCCTCTAATGTTTCAATCGAAGCACCACCGATATGCGGCACTGCAGTAACTCGAGGATGGTTTCGTAAGAAATCAGGTATCTTTGGCTCGAATTCAAATACGTCTAGACCTGCTGCGAAAACTTTTCCGGATTTGATGGCTTCGATTAGTGCTGTTTCGTCAATGACTGCTCCCTAGTGAAACAAGAGATGTATGGTGGGAATCAGCAATGTGTTCTTCTTTGTTTGGTTCAAGTGTGTAAACATACCCTAGCAGTATTAACAATCCGAACATTATCCCTCATCATCTCAAATTGTTTCGGTCCAATAAGATGACGGCTCTCAGCAGACAAGGGCACATGCACAGATATACAATGTGATGTGGATATCAGTTCGTCGAATGATACATGTCGAATGTTGAGTTCTTGCTCTTCTTGAGCAGGTAGACGTGTACGTTTGTAGTAGATGACATTCATGCCGAATGCTTGGGCTTTCTTGGTTACGTCTTTGCCGATCGAGCCAAAGCCGAGGATACCAAGCGTTTTGTTTTTGGGATCCTGATAAGGTTGGATTGTAAGGAAGGGCGACAAAAAAGATCGGAATGCTGGTGTCGACCAATTCTTACATTTCCAAGATCGTTTGGTATCTGCATGTATTCTCTGAATCCACCCTCTCGGATATGCTTCTGGCCTGCATTGGTGTTTCTGAACGTAGCCAATAGCAAGAACATGGCAATGTCTATCGAGATGAACGATGTTAGCCGTAGCTTCATGAATGACACAAAGGTCGACGATTCCAACCTGCAGTTCCAGTAGAAACTTCAGTCTTTGTAAGCCAGATACCCCGTTTAGTCATCTCGTCAACATTACAATCATCATAACCTAAATCACCGAGTTCGAGACTCAGCATACCAAAAAACGACATAGGTAACTCCATACATGTACTATCACATACCAGCGGCGACATTAACAATTAGCTTCACAGACTTTGGTAGGGCGTCCAACCATTCAGCATCAGCACCCTTTGGAGCAGCGACACGTAATCCACCAGCAAAGGTCTTTATGAGGACTTGGGTACCATCGTATTTGCCAGCCTTGCAAGCGTCTAGGAAAGCAGCACGGTTTGGTTCGTCGGATACCATGAGAGTGTACTTTTCAGCGAGACGTGGCTGGACGTCCTTGGAGAATGAAAAGTTTCCTAGCATCAGGACTTTGACGTGTTTGAATGACATCTATGTGTGTGGGCAATGTTGGGTAAGATTGTGTTCTGGATGTTGGTAAAAGCGAAGATTCAACGAGCCGAAAGACGTGACGAAGCAAAAGGAATCACGTTGCAATTCGCAATGAAGTGCTTTGACAAGGTTTGTTTGGTCATTGACCAACAATGGTCCAAATCATGGTTCATGGTTTTCACGAAGCTGCAGTAAGCAGTACCGGTCGGCCACTCACCGCGCTCGTTTTGATAGATTTAACAGATATACACTTGATGAATCGGGATACAGAACTCGTCCAAGCTGTCTCCTCGTTGAGCTTGTCCTGTATCGTATAGTGATACAATTCCTGCTTCAACCTTGACAAATCGACGAGAAGCTTGGATCGTGTTTTCAGCATATACGACAACGCGTCTAACTCACTCATATACATATAAATATTAGTCATGTTTTCATCATCAGGGCTCAAAAGGAAGGAGCAGCCAACACCAACGCCCGCATTGCAAAGTGAAGGCGATGTCATGAAAATTAAACCACTCGGCGCTGGCAATGAAGTAGGAAGAAGTTGTATTTTATTGCAATATAAAGGAAAAACTGTCATGGTACGAGTACTCTACTTGTTCCTTACTTGCTTTAAAGCGTTTTCGAGCTGACATCAAACACAATTTAATTATCGCAGTTGGATGCTGGCATCCATCCAGCTTATAGTGGTTTGGCTGCTCTGCCATTCTTTGATGAAATTGATCCCGCTGATGTTGATTTGTTGCTTGTCACCCAGTAAGGTTCAACTACTCGTTTAAAGAACGAATACAAACTCCTGACTTTTTTTACCGCACATTCTCAAGTTTCCATCTGGATCATGCTGCTTCATTGCCATACTTTATGGAAAAGGTAGTTTGGCTGTCTGCTACGCGCTACTCACAGTGCCTGTTGTTTTGGAACTTTGCTAATCCAAACACACCACACATAAATAGACTACTTTCAAAGGCCGTGTGTTTATGACGCATCCCACCAAGGCTATCTACAAATGGATGCTTAGTGATTTCGTCAAAGTCAGGTAAATAGCACTAAAGTGATTCTATCCTTCGTGATACTATGAGCAGTGTTTTTCGCGCTGGTTGACACTCTCGCCAAGAATGCACGAAGCTAACCCTCGAGTTTCAACAATAGTCACGTCGGATCCGAAGAACAACTATACGACGAACAAGATCTCATAAAATCCCACGACAAGATCGAAGCCATCGACTACCACCAAGAAACCGAAGTAGAAGGAATCAAATTCACTGCCTTCAACGCAGGCCACGTGCTAGGTGCCGCAATGTTCCTAATCGAAATAGCAGGTGTACGAGTCCTCTACACTGGCGACTATTCTCGAGAAGAAGACCGTCATTTAATGGCGGCCGAAAAACCAGCAAACGTAAACCCCGAAGTCCTTATATGCGAATCAACTTATGGCGTACAGTCACATTGGCCCAGAATGGAACGTGAGGCCATGTTTACGCGGCTCGTACACGATATAGTGCAAAGAGGTGGACGGTGTCTTATTCCTGTGTTCGCATTAGGACGAGCACAGGAGCTGTTATTGATCTTGGACGAGTATTGGCAGGCTCATCCGGAATTGCATTCGGTTCCTATTTATTACGCTTCGTCGCTGGCCAAAAAGTGTATGGCTATATATCAGACGTATATTCATATGATGAATGCTAGGATTAGGAAACAGTTTGCTATTTCAAATCCGTTTGTGTTTAAACATATATCGAATTTGAAGAGCATGGAACAGTTTGATGATGTGGGGCCGTGTGTCATGATGGCTTCGCCTGGAATGCTTCAAGTGCGTATGAAACAATCTCATTTTGACCTTTTTTGGTTTGTTTGCACGAACTAGGAACTCACTGGACCTTATGTAGAACGGTCTATCAAGAGAGCTGCTCGAGCTATGGTGTGTTGATAAACGTAATGGTCTTATTGTGCCTGGTTATGTCGTGGAAGGAACACTTGCAAAGGTAAGGCCAAAAGAGCCGCGTAGTTGATAGAATGATTGTCTTTTTGTGACGCACACTCACCGAATCTCACCCTACTACTTACCCACTAGTCGATATTATCAGAACCAGACGAAATACCAACCATGACAGGTGGCAAACTCCCTCGACGCTTATCCGTGCATTACATATCCTTCTCAGCACACGTCGATTTTACTCAAAACTCGGCCTTCATCCATGATGTCGGTGCACCGCATCTCGTACTGGTGCATGGTGATTCAAATGAAATGAATCGATTGGCTCAAGCTATGCGATCACGGTTCCAAGAACGGGATGAGTCTGTTACTGTATACACGCCCAGGAATTGTGAGGATGTGGATTTGTATTTTAGGGGTGAAAAGATGGCCAAGGCAAGGGCAATGCGTAGTGAAATTTGCTCTTTTGTGCACTTGAATGTCTTCCAACCCACATTTCTTGTTCCACCCACCAACTAGACAATCGGGTCATTAGCAGCCTCAATGCCCAAACCAGGCACAATAGTATCAGGAGTCCTGGTACAACGAGATTTCCAATATCGTATCGTAGCACCTGAAGATCTACCTGAATTCACATCCTTGTCTACCGTCACCATTCGACAACGACAACGAGTGCCATGTCGTGCGCCATTCAATCTAGTGAGATGGCATCTTGAACAAATGTGGGGGTCGCTAGAGTATGTGGAGACTGAAGATGACGAGGAGGAGGCCGTCAAGGTAGTTTCGTAGAGGACCATCGAGACTTTTTTGCCCGCCGAATGATGGAAACTGACGAACTACTGGGTTTGTGTAGGTATTTGATACCGTGACTGTTTCACAACCAGCTTCTGGCATGGTCATGCTTGAATGGGAAGGCAATTCAGTGAATGATATGATTGCAGATTCCATACTTGCTGTAGTGATGCAATCAGAGAGTAGTCCTGCTTCAGTCAAAGGTATTTTCTCCCGTTGCTTTCCGGTTTTATGCTACTGACTTATACTGTCCTCCTTGCAACAGCAACGAAATCATCACACTCCCACCACCACGAGCACCATGACGCTGATGAACCTCACGACGATGAAACCGGTAAAGTAAAACTAAAACGTGAAGCAGAACCACCGGCCAAAGTCAAGATCGAAAAACAAGGACTCCAAGTATCATCAGACGAAGCACAAACCAAGCTAGATGCTGAAATGATGGATTTAGCAACTGAATTCCTAATCAAGCAATACGGTGACGATGCAGTTACACCACAACCTGATGTTGATGCTGATGGAAACATTGTTGAAGTGCAGTGGACTATTAGTGTTGATGATGTTACAGCTGTTGTTACGTGGCACAAGGATGGGACCTTGGTGAGTTTGATTGTTGGAGATGGCTTTCTCTGCAAATGTCAAGTGGCATGAGTTGAAACCTGTTTTTCTTTTGGTTTTGATAGCATGTTGAATGTGACTCTGTCGAATTGTCAAAGCGGGTGTCGTCTATTATGGCGAGAGTCAAGCGGACTCTGTCGCGAGTGGTTGATACTTGGCAAATGCCATAAAAAACTGTTTGTAGTCATGTATTTCTTTTGTAAGATAGACAATCAAAAAAACATAACTGTCGCATGATACTAGAGAGCACCGATATCCAAATTCATTTATTCAAAGAAAGTACTAGCTCCAAACGCATTACAGTTTTGGCAAGCCCTTTGCGCCTTTGGGAAGAGGAACCTGGTGGTGAAATTGAAGAATCAGCCCGACTAAAGCTTGCCAAAAAAGAGGCAAAGCGAGGAGAGCAATACCTTATCAACATTCAAATTCATGCAAACACCAACATAATAATTCATGATTCCCATCAAGTCAATAAGACCTTCATAACCCAGTAGCTTTTTGGCAGCCTCAAACTAAGAAGCACCCGACAATTAATAGGCAACATGGATGATTTAATGACAAGCGATATATTTCAAGTTGTATCAGCACGATACTCACAGTCTTATCCGAAACACTCTTGTTCTGCAACAACTCAATCGCGAAATGATAAACAATAAGCTCATCTGCTTTCAAATCGGTCGGGTATCGTCCATGAGCAATGTCTTCACAAGCGGCAGGAGACACGCCCTCGGCTTCTGCGATAGGTCTGTGTGCATATCACTGTAATAAACGGTTCCTATTAGTCCACAAAAAGCACATTTGTTGAATTATTTCTTCTTTTTTTTGCTCACCTCAAAATCAGCATTCCAATGTCTTCCAACAAGAATAATGCCCAATTCGTAGAAACGACGATCAAGTTTCGAGTCGTATAAAAAGTATGCGAGGGTAGCGTTGCTTGCGTCTCTGTACTAGATGCAAAAGAAACTGTGTCAAACAATCTGAATAGCTTTAAATAACAGTAGTTGATAACTCACACCAGGACTATATAACCGAGCATTCTGAGGTCCTACAGTCTTTTTGGGGAGTCGTCCCTTCAACTAACAAGTGTGTGTGTGAGAAATAAGCACACCCACGATTTTTTCCAATACGTACAACGGCAGGCGCGTTCTCTTCCGTCATCTTGGGAAATCTCAATCCGTGGTCGATGAAGCCTGATCCGCTGGTAGCATCTATGAAAATCAAAGTAGTGTTAAGCAAGCTTCCACCTCAAGAACTAGGAAGGCATTGCTTGCTGGAGCAAATGGTAAATGCACATACCGTTGAGAACTTTTGTCATATTCTGAGACCGCATCTTGCCACCATTCCTCTTTGACTTGAAGTCTGAATTTGAGTCACCCATGATTTTGGTTTGGACGCGAATGAGACTATGATAATGAGGAAGCAGTGTAAGTGCCAATGAAGAAGCTGCGAGTGATGAGTGACGGACTAGGTTGCTCGTTGAGATACGGCCTTAGCAAGAGAACCTGTTTTGCAGCAACTTTGTGGATATTGAGTGTAAGAATGTCACACACATGGGAATATGGGTATCAAACATCTCGCCAGCTCATTTATGGTTTGATAACCAAACTTCACGACGAGCGCGCACCATCACATAATATTCGTTGGACTGGGTATATTATAATATAATTTTGACATGGTGAAACTAGTTACAGATTAAAAAAAACCAAGAAGGAAAGGCAACCAGCACCTCTCCCCCTCAGATAGCTCCCACAAGGATTTCAAAATTATGGGTATCACTAAAAAATTAAAATTCATCCATCCTTTGGGAAGCCCATCTGTTTGGAGAAGGGGGGCACACTTCTAAATATTAAGACTTCGACCTTTTTTGTATGTGCGGTGTGGCCGATATATAACCAGACCGCGGAGTGCTCTAGAAGTCTAGCAGAAGGACCAAGTGACAGTGACGACTCCCTGGACTGGATCAGCGACTTTGGCATATGTTCGTGATGAGAAGATGTCAATGTGGTTTGGGTTTGAGAAGCCACAGTTCTTGTCGTCACTAGAAAAGGATGAAACGTTAGTCAGTTAGGATGATTGCTATGAAATTGAAAGCACAAAAATTTCATTTTGGATAATATCGATGCAAATGCAACAAACTCAAGAAAACTACATTTAGGAGTCAAAACATACCAGACATCAGCAACTGTTGCCGTTATTGTGCCTCGTGGACCAGTTATTCTCATACATTTGCCACAGTATTTGGGGTCAGCGCCATTCACAGACATCCCGAAGTTCTCGTTAAGTGCAACGTAGTTGTGGCCATCCTGAAGAAGACAAAGGGATGACATGTCAGACACTTTGCTGTAAGTGACTGGATGCTCCAAAGTGATATAGCGAGCATACGTACATTAAGGTTCTTATTCCCGTAGCATGAGGTTTGAGCGTCATCGAAGTACGTTGCTTGGCCCTTAAATATCATAATAAAAGGGTTAGAAACCACGAACTTGCGCGAAAAAATCCAACGATATTACTAGGATACTAGACATCATGTCTAGACTATATAGCACAAAGTAAAACGCGCTTTTCTTTTAACCCCAAAAAGTCCACCATAAGACGCATTCAAAAAAATAACCCCGACTTACAGTGTGAGTTGTACCGTATTTTGCAGACACGCCAGCAGTAGTAGCGGCCTTGTCTTGGATATGAGTAGTTTCATTCATATACACGAGAAGATTTCTCTTTTGAAATCTTTTGCTTTCTGTCTTCGCGTCAGCGACATAGATGAGAGCAAGTAGCAAGACCAGGATGTATGAAGCGTGCATCTTGAGGTGTGTAATTATTCTCGTAGCTGTTTGACAGTCGACTTGTAGTGCTTAAACGCGTGATGGGATTCGTAATGTTGGGTGATTTGAAAAATAGTTGTTGGTGAAGGCTTGACGCTTTCAGACACAGCTAGCACTTGTCCAAGAGCAGTCCGGACAGAGTGCGATTGCCGGCTTTGTGGCAGGCGGATGGTGGACATCTTCGCGCCCAAAATTTAGGCAAACTTTGCTAATCTTTCGGGAGGAAATCACAAGTTGGTCTGGCCTTGACGGACATCTTTTCTTTATTAAAACTCCGGTTTGTTGCGACTGGATTACTCTGTTTCGAGGCTCCTGACGGACAGACTCATGCTATGCAGCAGATGCCGAGAATGTCGAGTTCTGGTGTGGACTTTGCGAAGCATTTGTGTACGTCTGTTTCGGTTCGTTGGAAATTCTTGAGAGAGCGAGACATGCTGCTATGTATCAGTAATGTAGAGATTTGGATGTAGTCGACTTGCGAAGCCCCCATCCTCCTTCAAAAGAATTTCCTGCGTATGTGAAAACGTGCACTTCCTCGATTTGATAATTGTAAAATGTTTTAACATTTGTAACAACGAGTTTGAAGAATATAAACTTTTTCTTATTGAGATCCCACTACGTACATAACAGACCTGTTTTACAACGGAGTGAAAGTAGTCTTGCCAGCCGCAGTAACCACTTTGACCAAAGATCCTGTCGTAACTTGTTCGTGACCAGTTGCCCATGCCAAAAATTTGCTAAGTGGGTGAAGCTTGAGTGTACTTACAGCTTGGCAGAGCATGAAATGACGCGTTTCTCAGATATTCTTAATTCTTCACAGTCAAGCATGTACCGCGTGCGAACTCTTCTTCAAACTTACGTGGATAGTTCCGGCAACGGAGTCCATGAAGAAGTATCCGCATCAGGCATGAACTTCCTATTCATTGGCGTGTCCAAAGTCACGGGCAATATAGCGACAACCTTGGCCTTTTCTGGCAACCCACCATCTTTGGCAGCGATAGATTTCACCTAATAGTTTCGGTTGAGTGAAAATTCATTCAAACGTGTCGTCAGACGAGAGATAATATATGCTTGAAGCGTCAAAACGTTCTTATGGGACGGTCAGAAAACAATACGAAACACGCACCAAATGATGTACAGCAGCTTTAGCCATTCCATATCCAACCATTCCAGGAGTCGGATCGACAGCAGCTGCAGCGCCGGTCAAGACAAGGGTCCCACCAGTTCGCAAAAACTTTGTGGCGAGATGAGCAGTAACCAATGCAGTCCAAGTTGACTGAGTATACATGGCCATGGCTGTCTTGTATATATCATGGGAGGCAACATTTCCACCTGCCCAGCCGCCAGCGACGTTGATGATGGCGTCCAGATGCGTGTCGACGAGCGAGTCTAGTATCCGTGACAGAGCTTCTTCGACATGGCGAGGGGTGTCGTGTAGATCAGACGAGTGTTTCAAGACAATGTTGTGAGGAGTGGCTTCGTTTGTTGACAGGTCTACATTCGTGACAGCTAATACATTTAAAAAGGAGATTAGACTGTGTGTTTAGGGGTTTTGAGATGTATCTCGAGAATGTCAACGAGATCAGACAGCGGTTCAAGTGTGATCTGCGACCAATTAAATATAATGCAACATGAAAGCAATAAGAAATAGAAGAGCTATTGTAGTAATCAATTTGCGGACACTTACTCCACCCATCCTTGGCGAATGTGTCTACGACATTTCGGCCCAGAGCTCCACTACCACCATAGACTAGTACGTGTGGCATTGGAATAGTTGGACGTGTAGTTGAAGCTAGTAAATTGATCGGAATTGGTTAGCTTAATGTTGGTTGTCTGAATGTGGCATTTGATTCCGCATATAATTGACATTGACAAACGAGAGCTTTCAAACGAAGACAAGGACGGAACTTACAGTATAATCGTCCAGTTAAGCGTGTCCTGTTCAACAAAAAGACTCTTCGCATATATAGTATGTTTGATTGCTTTTTGGATTTTGCGAGCTTCAAGCTAATAACAAACACGTCTATTAATAGAACAATGTCAGGGAAACGGCCATACGAAGATCCACAAGATGATCGCAATCCTAAACGGCCCAGACACTCTCTTCCTCCTCCTCAAACACGCTCGTATCCACACCCATCAACATCAGCACCAAGATCTCAACAACATCAATATTCAGCTGATTCAGTCGCTCCTCTCGTAGCATCTCACTACAACGCTAAACCGGACGCGGGATTATCAGTCCGAAGCCAATCTGCCATCATTGGATTACGGGACTTCAATAACTGGTGTAAAGCTGTAATCATTCAGGAATTCACAAAGAGAGCTAGACTGACCATTCCACATAATGCTCAACGTGGACTACGTGTCTTGGACATGTGCTGCGGTAAAGGTGGTGATTTGGGGAAATGGGCTAAAGCTGGTATTCAGGAATTGGTTGGACTTGGTATGTGTTCCTAAGTGGCTCTGTCACGCTGGATTTCACGCTGAGAGTTATAAACGTGCTCTGCCAGAGTGATACTTCCCACATCCCGCTAATTCTCTTTCGTTCGCCGTTGTCACATGTAGATATCGCCAAAATCTCGATTGACGATGCAAAAGGTCGCTATGAAGAAGGCAGAAGACGTCGTGGTCCAAGTGCATTCATGTTCAATGCATTCTTCCAAACTCAAAACTGTTTCGTGGTAAGATTCAGATGGAAAGTGTAGCTACTATTATAATAATGACCATCCTTTTTTTGCTTACCAACACTCACATGTGTATCATCATTTACATAGAGACCATTATCTGATTCACTCGGCCCAAATCCTCCACCCTTTGATCTAGTCAGCACGCAATTCAGTTGGCATTACTCGTTTGAAAACGAAGGATCTGCTCGACAAGCTTTGAAGAACGTATCGGACGCTTTGAGACCTGGCGGTTTCTTTATTGGAACATTGCCAGATGCTTACTGGATTGTGTGAGTTGAAAGCCTTCTTTATAATGAGAGCTAATCTACCATGATGGTCTCTTTTTTGCTCACCACTCTCCTCTCTAAAAAGAAAACGTTTAAAATCAGAAAACGGCTTATCATTCGGTAACTCGATATACAGCATCAAATTCGAACAGAGAGACAAGTTTCCTCTATTTGGTCACAAGTACTGGTTTGTATTGGAAGATGCCATTGACAATGCTCCTGAATTTTTGGTGCACTTTCCAAGCTTGACCAGGTAACGAAAAACAGGGCCTGGACTTCGAAGAAATGAATCGTTTACATCTTGCTCATATATTATATACTAGGCTTGCTGCAGAGTATGGTCTGAAACTGGTATTCAAGAAGCGGCTACATGATTTGTATTTGGAGAGATCTCAGGAAGGGGACGATGGCCAGCTGTTTCGTAGAATGTTGGGTAATAAGGTTATTACGGATGATGAGTGGGAAGCTATTGGTATGCATAACCATAGGCCCGTATTTTTCTTGCGATCGTAATGCATTTTTTGCTCACTGCGGCCTTACATCTGTTAGGAATCTATCTCGCGTTTGGTTTTCAAAAACAAGAACCTGCACCTGTGCAACAGAACATTCTGTAACTGTATAGAAGTACAGAACATGTAAAAATAAATAGCTATGATCTATGACGCGTTACTTTTCCGAAGTTGTTCAGACTCCCTGGTGTTAGTTTAAATATAACTCAACCGCAGCAAGCGAGTTCAAAACGATGAGCTTAAAAGTCACAATAAAAAGTAAGCTCAATCGTCCCAGATCTATGAATATCAATCAAATCTAACCTCTTTTCTTTCAAAATAGGGTAATTGAACTTGCTTGTTACCAACAGCACCAGAAGATCATTCAGTCTTTCTTATTCTCTAGATGGAATATGGTCGGAACTTGGAGCTGGAAGGTCCCAGCTGACGATGTCTGTGGAATATGTCGAGGCCCATTCGATGGTTGCTGTCCTGATTGTAAAATTCCTGGTGACGATTGTCCATTAAGTGCGTTGACCAGCCTTTTTTTGCATGCACAGATCAGAAGGCCATTGACATATATTTACATGTCTCGTTTTAATACACTAGTTTGGGGAAAATGCACACACGTCTTCCACATGCACTGTCTCATGAAATGGATTCAGACAGAAACATCAAGGAATTTATGTCCAATGGATCGTCGGCCGTGGGAGACTGCTACCTCATAAACCACAGCGCATTGTAATCTATAAGTTTGTATCCAGGCAGAGGTATCTTTGTGTATATATAATGAAAATATGATTTGAAGAATGATTATATGAGGGCTCTGTTCTATACATTCCTTCCAGTTATGTTACAATATGTATGTTCTTAGATGGATATGACACCACGTTGTTGGCTCGTACTACCATATAAATCTGGTCGTGATTCACTTCTTGAGTCAAAGCCAAGTAGACCTGATGAGTCTCGTGATAAATGTATTGGTGGGGATGAAGACCATATGCCCAAGTTTCGCATGCAGGATTCGAATAATCTGGTTATGGTGGCTTTTACACTGGTATCTGTGTGGTTTGTTATCGGTGTGTGGTTTTCGCTTTCTGTTGGGAGATCAGTGTATGGGATTGATGATGATGATCCAAAACAACTAGGATGCAAAAAAAGGAGTTCATATTCAGAAATGAGGCACTTAACACGAGCACTTTGAGTGCTAAAGCACTGAAAAGAATGGCACTTACTTGTAAATCCAAGACCAAGCATCCCCAGATCCAAAAGAACTGTCTGCCCTGATTCTAGTTCTTCTCACGCCAGGCTGCCTGCCTACTCCCACAAACTGCTGCCACATGACATTTGGATCCTGTATAATCCCCTTTTCCAATATAGGCGATATAGGACTTGTCGTGAATGCTGATCCGTTAGCTAACGATGTTGACCCATTAGGTTGTTCTAGATTAAAGTACGTCATGACGGGCTTGGAAGGTTTTGCAGCAGCGGCTATTATACTGGAGAGTGCGGTAGCCACATCAGAATCTACAGCTCGTAATATATCGGCTGTTGATGTTGGTGTTGCGGCGTTTGAAGGGTTTATTATAGGTGGTGGGATCTGCGGTAGTAGATGAAGAGGCAGCTGTTGACGTGCGAAAGATGGTCTTGGATCTGAAGGAGTGAGTATCTGGTGAGCATTGTCCTCGCGCTCGTCACTACTACTATTTCTATGATGATTATTCGACCAGGGATCGTCAAGAGACAGCACATCACCGTTTCCAGTGAAGCTACTATAGCCAGTATCGGACAACGAAGACGTGTCTCCAAAAGACTCTGACTGCTGGTGAGCGGGTAGTCTGGAATATAGATGGGCGACAGAGCATAGTTCGAGCGGAATCGACAGCTCAGAGAGCTGATGTATGTCACTAGTGTCCCATATTCTATTCGTTCGTTTTAAATCATCAATGGGAATGCCGTAGTGAATAGCTATGTGAATGGCTATTAGCTAGTGGAAACGTGATATCATATAACAAATATAAATTCTCTACCTATGCCAGCTAGCGTGTCGCTCTCCTTGATTTTATGCTTCACAGAGCGTTTCGTCGAGGTTGTTGTTTGAAGATATGTTGAAGTCGCTAGCATTGTATTTTGGTCCTGGGAGCCTCTATAAGATAGCGATCCGACTGCACTAGAGCCCATTTGCCGGCTAACGAGGTCACCAACCTTCCCTTCCAAAAAGTTGCGTCTTGCCGTCAAGGTGGTTTTTCAAAGTCAGCAACAAGGAGGGAGGCTCGACGCAAAGAAACTCAATCTCAAAACCATAAGGCACGTGTTTTCTCAGCTAGCATATATAATATTTTTAAAAAATCTACATATTCATGTCGCGAGGCTATTTGCAATATCGAGCTTCTGCGTAGCAACAGTGCTTCATCGAGTTTGACCAAGATCAAAGTTCAGTTGTTGAAATCGGAGTCTGACTCCGATTTCATGAAAATCACAGCCACTTATAGAATCGTAAGATTCAGCATCAGATCTGAGCCCAAAACTATACGTTCAGGAGCCTCCACACGCCAAAAAACACTTTCAGTAATACTACGACTAATCATAAACTGTCCCAACATTACGCTCAACCAATCGTGCACTGCTTTAGTATAAGTGGTATCCAAGTGCTCCTCATCAATACGAACCTCTAGCTTTCGTAGTTTTGATCCAGACACGCCAACACGGGCAGATAGACCTCGAAACCCGTCTTTGATCCAGGTAGTATGCAAGACCTTCGACGTTATCTTCTTTTCGGGATCCACTGCATCGACCCCACTGATTATGATAGTGACTCGTGGAGATTTGGTAGTTTACATATATGATCTTTCAAAGCGACGAGATGGCTCCATTTTAGTGCCTTGTATCTCACAGTCAGTGAGGATAGTTGCATACACCAATGCGACACAAAGAAGGCACTACTAGAGTTTACTAATACCAATGTCGACAAGTGGTGGTAGTCGACCTGTTGACAAGTTATGGGGTCGATCATACACGATTTTCTTAGCAAACAAGAGTTTCAAGTGATGAAATCGAGACAGTTCCCGCCATATATTCGTAATAGCTCCAAAGAGTCGACCATTCTCATACAACTTGAGGAGACCTTTTATACAGAGACTTTCGAGACTTTGCGGTAAGAGACTTAAAGCCGAGACGGGCATTCGTTCTGTTTCTTTAGTACGAGATATTGTGAGGCTCTTTACGTCTGGATGTTGGAGAAAGCCAATGCAGTTTTCGTCTGGTTCAGTGTCTAGGTCCATAGCAAGGGACTTCAAGCTGGGCAGCTCGGCCAGAAGGACGAGCATGCCTTCGGTTGATGTCTCACGATCTAGATGAAGTGAGAGCCTCATGTTTGATATATCGGGCATTGACTTGACCAAGTCTGCAATGCAAGAGATAAACTTCTCCAAGTGAATTGGCATGATCTAAAGCATGATGCGACTTTAGCAATTGCAAGCGTGAGACTGAACTGAGTTGACAAGGGGATCCCACACTTTGCTTCAGAAGTATACGAAATTTGCAATGTTTGCAAACTTGAGCTTTCGTCTACACTTGGCCTGGCCTGTATTTAATCGACATTGAAACGCTGAAACTGATATTCTGACTCTGACTCGTTCCATACACTATTCGTATTATCATTATCAGAGTCAGAAGTCCAATCGTCGTCATCGTCATCAGAAGCAGACATCCTTTGTCCTTCAGCGAAAGTAATATATTAATCAGCTTTATCAGGCCAAAATCCATCGCCGGGAACGATATTCGCTGTTTTCGATCACCTCGGTATAGACTCGAAGGTATGGGTGACCGCGACACACTTCCAACAAACCTGTAGACCGATGCGTCCTGGCTTCCATTGCGACAGTGGCATTACGTCTACACTACTGTTACCGTCCATCTGTTTTAAAGCACCAGATGAGTTAGGCGTGCGTCAAGTTCGCTAACACGACAAGAATGTCAAATGTTGCGCTCCCTGTCGACTCCACAGCCAACATACCTCTATCTCATGAAGAATTCCTCGTCATAAATAGACTCAGTGACTACAAGACGTAGTTCAGCTCGAAAGACTGTACGTTCGAATAGTTCTTTGAAGGTCTGTTCAATCCTCGAAGTTTAAAGAGCTGTTTTGGCGGAATAATGTCGTATGAGAAGAGGATCGTTTCCACGATTTCGACTGGTATACGATCAGTAGATCTTTTTTGCTCAACTCTTGATGTTTTTGGAAAAAGTGCATGGTTTGAACGGGATTGAAGGCACGAGGATGAGAGATGTACGAACTGTTGGTTCAAGTTTCGACGTACAGTGCTAATAGAGATAGTGTGGTAATATTCTAAAAGTTGTCTGAACGTATATCATGGCTTGCTTAATTGTTGCAAAGTGCGAGGTCATGCAAATACCAAGCTTACAGAATTCCTTACAAGTTGACGGTATAGGAACGGTCAAAAGCACAGATTACACGTATGAAATGACGCTCAGTTGGTACAATTCCATTCCAAGCGGTGGGGTTGGAGCTAGACGCATTCTACATTATTTCCAGCGAAGTCAGATTTCGAGTGATTCCTTACTGGACCCCATAGCAAATTCTTACTGCCAAACCAGTTTGTACCCAATCAACAAAACGTTTTTGCTCCCTTCCCCAGGGCTCACTGAAAATTCCTCTCCTGTTCCAAACTATAAAAAGCACACAAATTCACTCACACTGAAAAACCAAAAAACGCAGTCAAAGGAACAGTTTAAATGGCAGTTAGTATATGACAATTAACTCCCACCATGTAAGCGACGCTAGATTTACTTATACCGCTGGTCCTTTATTCGAAATACATATCTCTAACATTCATCACTGCCACCCTCATCTAGTTCACCTACTAGCAGCACATCGTATCAACCAACCTTCTACCATAACATTATTAGCTAACATTAAATCAACACCATGAGCGATATTCCATTATCAGATGCTCAAACTGCCAACTTCGTGGAACATCCTGCCACTCAAACAACCATGCGCTCATTCAGATTCCACGAAGATACCAAGAAGGAAGCTGCTGATGGTGGTGGTGCATTTGCTGATCTCGGAGGCCGAAGAATGTCTCGAGTATCTACCAACACGAGCTTCAATGCCACTACAAACGTCCATAACCAATTTGGGACAGATGCTGCCAAGTACTTGGAAGGCTTGGGAACTCTGGGACATGGCAACAAGTACAATACTATGACTACTTTTATCTTGGCCTTCCAATCTATTGGTGTCATCTATGGTCCGTATTGTTTTTTGATCGAAAGTTGATTTCTTTTCAAAGCCCCACATGCTGAAAATTCTCATCGTCTTGATTACAGGCGACATCGGAACATCTCCACTGTACCTATTGTCAATTGCTGTTTGATTCACGTCATCTAGTGTTTCTCACAGTTCTGGTTAGATACGTCTACTCGTCTACCTTCGCTGCTCCGCCTTCAAGAGAGGAGCTCTTGGGTGCTCTTTCACTCATCATCTGGACATTGACTTTTGTCGTATCGTTGAAATACGTTACCTTTGTCTTGAGCGGTGAGTTTGCCACATCATTATGTTTTATTGTCCGATGGGTGTCTAACTACGATGTATCCTTTCAGCTGATGATAATGGCGAAGGAGGAACATTCGCTGTATACTCGTTGCTCTCGAGATACATGAACATTACTTGGCGTGATCCAAAACAAGTATCTGTTCGTCTTCAACGATACGATACTGAGCAGATTGGACGCGCCAACAGAGCTGTTCGTATGGGACTTGAAACCTCAGAGATTGCCAAACGTACGTTCGTTATCTTAACATTGGATCATAGCCACAAGATCTAAAAAGGAATCGCTTCTAGGTGGTCTCTTTGTACTCTCGGTCTTGGGCGTTTGCTTTGTACTCGCTGATGGAATTCTCACACCAGCTCAATCTGTACTGGGTTCCATTCAAGGTCTTCAAAGTCCATTTCCTGACTTTCCCCAGGTACAGAATACAGTTGGCTTCCTTCTTGGAAATTACACATTTCTAACGCTTTGATTGAAATAACAGAATGGCGTAGTCGGTATCACTGCTGGTATCTTGGTCCTCTTGTTTGTAGTCCAGCCATTCGGAACCTCAAAGATCGGCTTTTCCTTTGCACCGGTCGTCTTTGTCTGGTTGCTTTACAACCTTTGCCTCGGCATCTGGCAGATTGCTGTATTCGATACATCCATCTTACAGGCATTCTCCCCATACTGGATTTACTACTGGTTCGCTACCAAGGGAACAGATGGATGGCTTAGTCTCGGTGGAATCCTCTTGGCGTTCACGGGTGTTGAAGCACTGTTTGCTGGTGAGCTTCGTTCCACTCGTCTGTTCAAGCATTGCTACATCATGTTCACTTGATATTAACATTTGAAAACCATAGATTTGGGACACTTCTCGAAGAGTGCAATTCAACTCTCTTGGCTCTTCTTTGCTTATCCGTGCTTGGTGGTATGTTCAGCAACAACATTCTAGCTACTTTAAAATATTTGGATCCTAACCACCAAGTGAATATTATAGGTTGCTTATATCGGTCAAGCAGCCTACTTGTCCAATAATCCTCAGGACTATGGAAACCCTTTCTTCAACAGTGTGCCCTCAAATTTATTCTGGCCGTCTTTTGTGTTGGCAATCGCAGCTACGATAGTCGCGTCTCAAGCTATGATTACTGGTTGTTTCTCGATCTTGTCTCAAGCAATGTCCCTGTGGAACTTTCCCCCTCTCAAGATCATCCACACTAGTACCAAGTTTTATGGGCAGATTTATATTCCTGTGGCCAATTGGTTGCTTATGATTGGAACTGGTATGTTATTAAGCAATTCGCTGAAAACAGGCGTTCCGGTGATCTGACCAATTGTTTTTTCTAACTACAGTGGGAGTAACTGTAGCATTCAACAATACTACTTCCTTGGGTTTGGCATATGGTGCATGTGTTGTACTAGTCAGTTTTATCACAACTGTCTTTGTTACCATTGTCTCTATTACAGTCTGGAGGTAAAATCAGCGCCCGGTTTCGTACTTATGGGGTAGAAACAAGACCATCAATTCTAACTCGCTATTCTGTTTCCAGATGGAATATCGTGCTCAGTTGCCTCTTCTTCTTGGTCTTTGGCACCATCGACATGGCATACCTAACCGCTACCATGACCAAATTTGTCTCTGGAGGCTGGTTTACCATCACGCTTGCTGTCCTCTTGGCCTCGCTGATGATGCTCTATCATTGTGAGCAGTTTAAATGTTTCCGAAGTCTCTTCACTGGTCATTCAATTCCTCAGTTAAACTCACTATACTTCATTCAATCTATAGGGGGCAAGGAACAGCAATGGAAGGCCGAAGCTGCTATGGATGATGCCAAAGTCGAAGATGTGGTTAAACGAGATGTGATTCCTACGTCAGATTACTTTGCTGATGTATCAAAACTGGCTTCGGGTGTATTGTCTGGCAGTGATGGAGAACCATTCACCACGATCTATGGTATCGGAGTCTTCTTTGACGAGTCTGGTCTTGCCGTGCCCCCCCTTTGGGCCAGCTTGTATGTGTCTCAATTGTTTCTTGTCTTGATCGAAAGAGTTTTCCACTCTGAAAAATAACCAACGCTTTTCCCTATAGTACTCGCACTTTCAAGGCAGTACATGAGATTGTCATCTTTTTACATGTCCGTCAGCTGTCCGTCCCATCCGTACCACTTGAAGAACGATTTGTTTGGTTTCAATCAGCAGATCCACGTATCTTTCGATGCATTGTTCGTCAAGGATATAATGACTATGAAGCACCTTCCTCTTCTCATGCCTTGATTGAAGCATTGGCTCTCCGATTGTCTGACTTGTTGAAGCGTAGTGATGGTGAATCTGCTGCTGCCTTGGTTCATGCTGCTGAAGCTCGGTAAGTGAGAGTTTGTTACGATATTATTCACTTTCAGCTTCAACGTCTGTCATCTGTGATTCTCGTGTTGTTCTAATACCTTCATTTCTGTAGTGGTGTCAGCTATTGTGTAGGTCATACATATCTCAACACCAAGGAAGGCACTTCATTTATGCGTGCTTTGGGCTTGCGTATCTTCAACTTTATTCGGTAAATTTATTGTTGGAGGATTTAAAAAAGGTTTCATACCAAGAACTCACATATTCGTATTCTTTTAAGATCAAGCACCAAGAAATATGTTGCCTTCGGTGTCCCGCGTGAACATCTGATTGAAATTAGTCTCAACTATGAGATCTAAAGTTGCTTTTCAAAATGTCGTGTTATTCAAAGGCTAAAGCCAGTTTCGTTATAAAAGCAAAATAAAAGAAGTCTTATATTGAGTGAATTCTGGCACTTTTGACATGATCAGGAGCTTTTGTGAGCAAGATGGTTTGGTGGTTGGAAATGGAAGTTTGAGCGAACTGCCGCGACACTGAATTGTAAACCACCAGCTTTTGCAAAGTTACACTATGCGCATATATACGCTGATTCGACCTATGCGGTTGACGGTGTGGTAGGCCACAACGTGGAATGATGACACTAGCAAAACAAACAACCGTTGATCGTTTTTTGGAGCAGAGGATCGATAAAGGCGAGAGATAGTAGTGGAGGCTCTTATCAGCAACCTTTCATTCATCTTCGGACTTCATTTTCATAGACCCTTTTGTCCTTTCCCTCCTTCTGCCAATCGCTACTTCTCAGCCAAGCACAAGTCTTAAATTTGTGAAAACGCAAACGACTCCACCCACACAGCAGATAACTTAATATAATCTAGTACCTAGCATATCTCCTTACATCAGTACATAATCATGAAGGCTTTAATTCTCGTCGGAGGTAAGTCCACCCTGTATTGCGAGCTTAAATCATGAAGCAACTCTATTGCAATGGTGGTGGCGGACTTGTGGCCCATATGGAATTCGTGTAATGTGAACTGTACTTCTATGTACTAACATGTACATCTCGCATATTGCTAGGCTTCGGTACTCGTCTCAGGCCATTAACTCTTACCCTCCCCAAACCATTGGTCGAATTCGCAAACCGCCCAATGATTTTGCATCAGATAGAAGCCTTGGTCAAGGTAATGGATCTTTTCTGGATCTACTTGTAAATCAATCCTTGCTATTCAAACATCTTGCTTTGCCGCTGGACCGAGTGCCACCACGCTGATGCTTTTTTACGCCACTGCAATTTAAGGTGTTGTGACATGGGTGCACTAACATTGTACTTACAACTTGTAGTGTGGTGTCACTGATATCGTCTTGGCTGTCAATTACCGTCCTGAAATCATGGTCAACTTTATGAAGAAGTATGAGCAAGAATTAGGTGTCAAGATCCACTTCTCTGTCGAGTCTGAACCATTGGGTACAGGTAAGATCCCTCTCGCTTTCACGTTGCTTTGAACTCGTATAATTATCTACATGGCATTCCCTGTACATCCGAAACTCATTTCTTCTCTCCCCACTTCATTCATATAGCTGGTCCATTGGCATTGGCAAAGGATGTATTGGGCAAGGACGACGACCCATTCTTTGTCCTCAACTCTGATGTAATCTGTGACTTCCCCTTTGCTGAAATGCTGGCCTTCCACAAAGCACACGGCAACGAGGGTACCATCCTAGTAACCAAAGTCGACGAACCATCCAAATATGGTGTAGTAGTCAACAAGCCAAACACCACAAACATTGAACGATTCGTAGAAAAACCACAGGAATTCGTATCAAACAAGATCAATGCCGGATTATACATGTTTAGCCCCTCAATGTTAAAACGTATTCAACCAGTCCCTACATCAATCGAAAAGGAAATCTTCCCCGCCATGGCCAAGGTCAACCAGCTACACGCTATGGACTTGCCTGGATTCTGGATGGACGTTGGACAACCAAGAGACTTCTTGTTGGGTACTGGTCTCTACTTGACTTCTCTCAACAAGAAACAACCGCAATTGTTGGCTACTGGCCCTCACATTGTTGGTCATGTCTTGATTGATCCCTCGGCCAAAATCGGTAAAGACTGTAAGATTGGACCTAATGTTACTATCGGCCCCAATGTGGTTGTTGGTGATGGTGTCAGATTGGCTCGTACTGTTGTACTTGAATCATCGGTTGTCAAGGACCACTCTTGGGTCAAGGACACTATTATTGGATGGCACTCTACTGTAGGCAGATGGGCCCGTTTGGAAGGTGTATCTGTCCTTGGTGATGACGTCCATGTTGCTGATGAAGTAAGTCTTGTCTTTGATACAATCCATAGAAACGTTGAACTCACCCTTTCTTATTTCTAGATTTACATCAATGGTGGATCCATTCTCCCACACAAGTCTGTGAGCTCCAACATTGCCGAGCCTTCCATCATCATGGTAAGCTTGACACCACATGCTGTAGTTCTATAAGCTCTCATACACAGTCTGGATCTCCGTGTCTAACCTCATCACTGTATCCTCTTTTAGTGATTTGTGCTAATCCTCTACCAACCCTCATTGCAACATGCCTCAACTAAGAAAAAGCAAAAAAATCCAAGTAGTTAAAAACAAGTGTTTTGAGAAATCTTTTAGGAAGGAAACAACCGTAACCGTAACAACAAACAACCATCAACAACGTAATACTAGAAAAAACAAACCATCACTCACATTTGAAGGAACTCGGGCTTTAATGGAGCAGACAAAAAGGAAACACATAAAGCATAAACACACACAGGACACATTTGGTTTGGTGTAAACATTCTTGTTAGTAGAAAGCCGGTCTTATGATGACAATAATCTTGCCCAAACAAACCCTTTTTGTATAGTAGAAATGAAGAAAATATATAGGTATTGAATTTAGCACATAAGGGAAGGTGTCGTGTAATCATGTTTTGTTTGACAAATATCCCTGCCGACTGCCGACTATTGCGGCTCGACCGTTCGAATCATCCTGGCGAATCATGGTTCGAAATCATATCCCGGAGGTTGGCACTGTCTCCGTAAATTCCTAATCGCTTGCAACTTGAAGCAACATCAACCCCAACGTGTCGTAGCGTGAAACACAATCTTTCCACGTGAAAGAGTCAGTATATGCAATGCTTGATACCTGAAAATGTGATTTCCCACAATTTAGTAAGTCGAGCATTGATCTAGACGTCGTCCGGTGTTTCACATCAACTTATTGTTACTTGCAGTCTATCCTATTGTAGGCTCGAGGTGAGGTTCTGCACTTGTATAGAATTCCGGTTTAGTATTTCTGTCTTGCCTCTCTGCATGAAGCTTTCTTGATTGTGCATCATTGATGTAGCATCCGAGTAGATCGAAGACACAAAGGAATAATGGATACTATAAAATGGAAGAAGCTTCGCCTGCCAAATTAAATTCTCTTCGCCATCTTTGAATGTATCCCTACCAATTGGCGTAGATCGTTGTCATACTATCACCACAACCAATCTGCGACATACTATCACCACAACCGAAACCCCGGGCCTCTTGGCCACCATCTCCACCGCGAATGAGTAACTCGCCATCTCCTCGTAAAAGACTTCTTCAACCCGCTTTCATCTACTTGTCACTATGATGACGTTCATTAGAATCATACACAAAACAATGAGATAATATGACCATAATCACGATCAAACGAAATTTGTATAGTAGACCATAAAGTATTGAAGGCATTGAAATTAAAGAGACGCATACTATGATGCTACATGTTGTGTTTTTGAAATATGCTTACTATTGATGTGACTGATGTTTGTTTTCGTGCGAATCAACAGAGAAACCAATAAACAGACGAGCACTCTCATACTCTCAACGACAAGACTGTCCTAACATCGTCCGTAAATCGCAAAGCGTCCAAAAAGGGTAACAAGTCCAGCAATGCCTCATCATGAGGATCATTAATCCAGCTTTCAATCGGTATGGCATTGTCTGGATGATCTGCATACGACATTGGCGAGTTGTCAAGCAGACAGACCTGAGACAAGTCTGGTTCAATGACATGTAGAGGTTTCAGGTATATTCCGTTGTTTTGAGTGCATGCCTATAGTAGGGAACAACAAAGTTCAGTGAGAGAAGAGCTAGTGATGGTGGAGTGCTCAGGAAAACTTACTGAACGAAAAAATCGTCTTGATATTAGTGTTCGTGACTTGTCTAGATAGTCAATGACCGGATCGGCATATTCCGGCATTGAAGCTGTGAAGATTACTAGATGATACCATTGAGAGACCTATTGAGGATTGCAAAAGAAATCTGTCATTTGCATCCACTATAGGAGAGAAAGAATCTAGCTTCCAACCATACCCGTTGTAGAAACAGGTCGACATGAGGCCTCTTATATACATAATACAAACAAACCTAATGAGAAAACAAAAGTGTAAGCAAAACGTAAAGCCAAAATATCAAACAGTTGTGCACATACATGTTTGTCAACCAACACCTCAATCATATGATCATGATTCCTAGACCCTCTAGACGTGGAATGGATCAACGTCTCGTCTAAATCCAGGACCAGAGTCTTTATCCTACGGTCAGGAGTAACACTACTCCTCAAACTCTTCCGTATTCGCGGAGTATGACCATTACTGCTACTACTCATTCTAGATATACTTGAATCCGATGCTGCTGAATCGGATTCATCGGTTGAAGCTGACTTTAATCGTTTAGACCTTCGAAGGGCTTTTGGTGATGAAGTTGATGATGATGATGGAGTGGGTGTTCCGTTTAGTCTTGAAGAAGGACGCCGTTTGGGGCCCTTCCATGTCAGCATGGCTATTAGATATGTATATAGAAAGAGCACGTATTCGAGATAGAACTTGATGTTTGATGATGAGAATGAAGCTGGTTGCGTTGATGCTAGCGTTTGCGATGGCATGGTTGTTTTACAGGTGGTCCTTCCACTTCATTTCTTGATCCTATATGAATCGTATTAGTTTCAAGTATCCACACTTGATGAAGTCCTCGAACGAAAACTTGCCTCACTCCTGTCGTGTGATGTAACGCGATTAGGGGTTTGGATGCGAACACCAACCCTGGAAAGCTCTGTCCATTGGACGTGATTTTCGACGTGATTCTCGAACTGCCTCGTGATTTTTAAATTAGACTCTATGCTTTATTTACAACTATGCCACTATGATATATATCAGTGCTCCAATTTTTCAGCTTCGCCCACATACCCTCTCGCTATTCCAGACCGCCCTTCAATCACATCTCCTGCTTCAGTCTGCCCTATACGAGCATCCAATCCTTGATACGTCCGTTGCTGTAGATACTCTACAGCAGCACTACTTCCAGAATTGACGGTCAAGGCCGTATTCTGATTCCTCAACACCATAGTAGAATCATCGTCCACTGCACCATCTTTGGCTGGCTGATGTGATGATGAAGCAATATATGTTTTAGCTTGCTTGTACTTACCAGTAACAAGCGAAAAGTGAGGAGCAGCACCACCTTCGCCATCATCATCCTCTCGTACTTCATCACCACCACCATTGGTATCCTTCGCGACAGTCAAATCCTGTTCTAGTCGCTCCCTCATCACTTCCAGATCCGTGACATATGCTAAATCCCGTCCAACCCATTCTTCACTACTCGTTAAAGCCAACTCCAGCTCAAAGGGTGTGACTATAGGTCTCAAAAACTCTTTCGAATCAATCAATGAGTTTTCAGGGCATGCTACCAAGACGAAACATTCAATTTCCATGAAATTCCCCAGTTTCGCTGGATTCGGCTTGCCAACAGCCAGCGTATATGACTTCTTTGATCTCGAAGCAATGAGCGATTTGAGATGGTCGATGACTGGCAAATAAGATGCTAGAGTATCAAAAGGACAGGTGTTAGCCACATACATGGCCATAAAACAGTGCAATTCGATCACAGTGAATGGTCGGAGGGAGACTGGTCTCAGATGGGGTCAGTGAGTCTTTTTCATCGTCATCGGTGCAAGAGACACATCTCTTAATAAGCTATCGGACGGCAATTCCTATTATTTCGACAATTCATCCTTCCAAAGTGATGACCAGTCTCCCTTCAGCCAAAAAAAAAAAACCATCATGCGATGCTCACCAACTCCAAGTGTTCCAACTACAATTCCAAACACGTCTGCATCTTTAGCCTTTTGCAACATGAAATACCTAGTCACGAATGCAGGTCTTAAAACAGGGGACTCGAAATATTCGCGTTGGTAAACTTTAAAATGAAACCTTCGATTCAATAAGCGATTGACTTGAGAGGACTGAGGTTGACATTGTTGGGTATCAGGATTGTATGCAATCACCTAAATGAAACGATTGGTTTTTTTCGGACTGGAAGAAAAGTTTGGGGAAAGCTTACTGGACAGGAAGGATGCGTTATAATGATATTGGTCAGAGTCAAACTCTCGCCACCGATATAAAACAGGGTATAATCATTGCTGCTTGTTCCCTTAGTCAGAGTGTACTGCCTGCCACTCTGTACATTTGTATCATTGGTCAACCGTTCAGAGTCGACGGTTGATATGACTAGATTTGGCCAATCTTTGCCAGAGAGTCGACTCCTTAACGAATCTGATTGTAGTAGAGGTATTAGTGACGCAAAAAAAGAGCGGCCAGCGTAAAAACACAGTTACCAATGCAGTATGCATATACCACATCGTACATAAGCAGTACATGCTTGTCTGAATGACCCTGAAACACTTCATCAAGCTTCTCCACTACATTGTCCAGATTAATTGTGGCTTGTCCAAATGCGTATTGAACTGGCAGCCTCCTTGTTCTATGAGTCAATGCAGCAAACTTAGGCTTGCCGACTTACAGAGCGTCTACAGGATATTTACTTACGGGCTTAAACAAGCTCTTCCGTAATGAACCACAAAATCAGCAGAAGCATGTTCAGCTGCCACTTCATCGACGCAGCAGCTTTTTTTGGGGGTTAAAAAAGGAAGTCAACGATGCATCCATAACTTTTGTGTCCAAAGAAAGTTCAGATTCCATTTACCATACCTTCCATAAGATGTATCGGCCAGAATAAACACATCTCGACCGAGTGCTCGTCGAAGATGATTTGCGATCAATGTTGAAACATTCAGCAATTCATCAGGGAACTGTAAAGCAATCTAAAGGTCTTGGATTAGATGGATGATTAATTTGAATGAATATGGAATCGACGATGCCATCTGCTTTGATGAAAAGACTTACGCTTTTGAATCCATGTTGACGCCCTAGCTCAATGGTCCGTTCGACTTGATAAAGCTTACAGACCTGAGCAGCTTCTGTATTGGACGATTGTAACGATGCTTCTGATGCGAGAACGCGCTCGATGACTGCTCGTCCATCGTCTGAGAACGTTGTTGGTCCATCCATGGAGCTTCTGAAATAAATTTGGCAAAAAAAAACCTTGGGTGTACTAGACACAAAAGCGATTGGAGTGACATTAACTTAGATATTGAATATTTACGTGACCTGTTCGCAGTATTTACATATAAAGATTGCTTTCCACCACAGTCTACACCTCCATCATCTCCTGTCCATAGAAGAAACGTCGACAATTTCCAAGCAAGAGCTGGCAAACTCTTGAAACTTTGGAAGATGAGTCAGCGCTTTCTGTAGTTCGAGTTCCGGATGTGGTGAGGCGTTGATTTCTTGTAAAGCAGCTCGTAGTTGACGATCTTTTAGCAATTCAGTGATTTCATCCGATGAGGCTATGAATTGGGAGTAGATATAGATTTAGCTCGATGCATAAAGCCGAATGACAATCTCTTAATGCTAAGCTTACAAAGTCGTTGTAACTGTTGAGGTGTGAGCTCCCCTTGCTTGACTTCGGAATATAAAGCGTCCAGACGAGGTGTAGGCAATACTGCAATTGACGAACCTAGATTGTAATCGAAATCAGCGACGACTGATCGTACATATCAAGCAGATCAGATCGACTGGGTTGGACCAACAAGAAAAAAACTTACTTGATGTTGCTGTAGAAGCTGGGAGAGCAGCACAGTTGGTTTCTAATTGAAACACGAGTAAGTAGTCTCGTTGTGAGCAGTTAAAACAGCTGCTACATGCTTGCCTTTATGCTTCTTGCTGCAATTAGCAGAACAGCTATTATTGTGGATGTTGGTTTATAAGCATGCTTCTCTATACGCTCAAAAGGAGGATGTATCAGGGACTTACAAGGGCGCTCTACATGCTGGACACTTGTACTTTGGCTGTCTTTCGTTGCAAATAATACATAACGACATTCTTCTACCTTTTTACGTTCAGAGCTTCCTTCATACATGGTCGATCACATAAATGACCTGGTCCAGGACTTCGTAAGCAGCTCAAAGCGACGAAAATGCAGATACAAACATACTGGAAACTTTGTCGTGTTTCTATTTCTTTTGTACAATGTTGAAGTAGAATTGCAGCCATTACACTGTTTAGTGCCAGGTGGAAGCATCAAAGTGTCCAAAGCTGCGCCAGGGGCGATTCGTCTCCAGGTTGCTACAGATTCGCAAGTCATACACGTTCCAAAATCAGGATCTGTAGACCGTTCTTGTGAGTTTTAAGTGGGCATTAACTTTTAAGGTCACCAATCTCACCTCATCCTGAAGATCTGATATTTTCCATTAACGTGTACAGAGCAGGCACAGCGTATAGTTTACAAAGCCTTGAAGCTGCCCTTTATTTGCAATGTTCCCAGACCCTGGCATCCTTCAATTTAATCAAATGATGTTGGAGTTTTGCAGCAGTTCAAGACTCTACAGAAAGAGAAACGTGTCTAGAAATGGAAGACTACTAGTAAAACTATCAGTAAACATCAATTCCGCGGTATCAGAGAGCGATCGCATAAGGCACAAACACCTCAAATCACGTCCTCGATTGGTATAGTGCGAGTTCTGCTCGCCAGGTCATTGCTTTCTTTGCACTATTGAACTTTACCGATATCGATATCGCTGAGCTATAGAATTGAATTCAGCACGCTAGCATCTTTGCGTTTGTCTGGAAGAGTTGGCTTGGAAGACCACTTCATAGTTGTTGAACTTCGGAATGCGCTCACAAAACGCACCAGTCGACTTGGAGGGGAGCTGAAACGCTTCAAATCCAGATTCTCATATATTTAAACAATTCCGTATTTGAAGTCATTGTATTAAAGAGGGAACAAAAAAGGCGATCAACATTACCAAACAAATTGCATTCACTGCCTAAATCTTCGAGCCTTTTACGTTTCTAGGTTACAGCGTGTCGACTGTAGCTCTAAACATCTGATCGATAGTGGTTGATACATCGTCATTCAAGCCTTCAGATGGTGCAAGAGTAAGCATTTCTTGAACACGTTTCCTGTACTCTTCATCGGTTGTTGTCTTTTCAGCAGCGGGTGCTGTATTATTGCTTCCAGAGTTGGCGACAATAGACTTGATGGCAAAGGCAGGAGCATTTGCTCGTGATTTCCTGTGGTAGCCTGCCTCTTTACCAGTGATACTGATGGATCGAGCACTACCGAATGCACGTTCCAATGTAGTCGCTGGCTTCTCGACCGTTATGGGTGCTATGGCATCGTCGTCTTCGTCATCACCCAATAATGTGTATCCGGATTCTTTGGCCATACCAGCCGTTTCAAGTTCGTGTTCATGGTTTTGTACAGCGGTTCGTGATGGAGACAAGGCGATTGTTGGTTCTGGTACAATACTAACAGTCTTAGTTTGGATGACTGGACTGCTTGGTGATGGGACGAGCAATTCGTTTATGGCCAAGTTTTTGCTCGGTGATTGAGTCTTTTGGATAAGACGAAGGGGTGGCAATGAGGGATAGAGTGATGCTGGGTGTAAGATCAATACTGGCACTTCGACAGACATCTTTGGCCTAAAGGTCATGTTGTGTGTTAAATTTTTGGGTAGCAGAAACTGCATTGACTTAAGTCTGTGCTCTGGACGATGGCCAGTAAACGTACCCGTATGTTGGATGAATGGCAACTTGAAGACAGAAAGATACATCAACCAACATCCCGAATCGAATGGACCGAATCGACAACTGCAAAGAATTTGGTAAGTTTAGAAAGGAAGGCACTCTACTGTATTGCAAAACTTACTGGTATTTCCATATCCACAACGAATCGTCGAGTGTCACCAGAATCAACACCATCCCAAACAAAGTTCTTGGGCACAGCTGATCCTAGCACACTGGTAGAGCTGTCGTCTTCAGCCCAACCTTCAGCAGGAACGCGTATATTGCCATCTTGTTTGCCCTTTGACGGCATAGCACGAAAGACTTTTTCGTATACATTCGTGCGAGAAAACGATACTGGAGACAATTGTCCGTCTTCAGTCACTGCGAAGGTCTTGAGTCGTCGAATGAGGCTGACATACAAGTTCTTGATCTATATATAGAGCAAGATTGTGAGAATTATCATAAACAAAAGGCAATAAAAGCTGCCATGCAAAAAAAAGGATCAAAGCAATGTACATACAGGCTTGGGCGAGTCATTAGCAACCTCAATACCAACAAACCCGACACTTCCAGCAGCCCAGCACTTTCCAGATACAGCATCGTCCATACCATCTTCAGGTACATGGACTTCAGCTTGCAAAGTAACATCACCCCGGCCCCTGTACCAATTGCCAACAGTCTTTGTATCGAATGCCATCAGTAGAGAGTGCATTGGGATGCTTGATGGGAAGGCAGGGACTTTGGTAGCTGGGGAGTATTCGATTACTTGCATCTCACGTTGACTGACCAAAGTGATTGGTTTTCGGTTGTTTACTTTGACTTCAGCGATGCTAAAAAACCAGACACAAGGATGTCTAATGAGTTTTGAAACACAAGAATGGGCTATGAATGAGTTTTCAACAAAACATACGTTGTAGCAATGTATCGAATACCACCAAACTTGCGAGACCAGAATGACGATGGCAATGGACCACCTCGTTCACTCAGCTTTGTTGACGTGTTGGTGCCAGATGTCATTGGGATCTTGACATCAAAGGCGGTACGTCCTTTTCTGGCCAACCAGCAGCTATCCTCGTCCGCTTTACCACTGATTACGGCATCTGATGGTGGTAGATCTTTTGATTGCAAGTCAACCTTTTCGAAATAGAATGGACGACGGGTTGGATTGCGACGTGATGTCGATGAGATGATTTCTAGTTTGTATTTGAGGTTGAGAAAGGCGTAAGCATATGTTGACACAAAAAGCTACAAGCACGATCGCACACGTGCAACCAGGCACTCTCAGCAAATGATGCACGACACTAACACAGCACCAAAGCATACCTTCAAATCCAACAATCTCAATAGATATCTTTCCCAATTTGACTCGTTGAGCATGCTCACAAGTCACAATAACCCTTCCATAGAATCCAGAATCAGCTTCACGACCTCCTCCAACACATACAGTTCTGTCAAATTCCTGCTTCAATTCAACATATTTGCATCTTGTTCGGAAGCGAGTATTTGATTGCAATGATTCCATCGTGAACGGGTTGATTTTCTCGGTTGCCTCATTGTCGGGTGATGCTGATGATGCGACTTGTTCTTGGGAGGTTGATGAGGCCGTGAGGAGTTGATTACGTTCCCACTTGTTGAGGCTTGAGCGGATGGTTGATTGACGCTCCATGTCTATTCTATTGATCGAACTGTTTGAGTTTTCGAGTGTTTTGGAAATGTTAGATCTATGATTGGTTTCAAGCGATTGCAATAGATCGAGTGTATGATCACCTTTTTAAAGTATAAATAAAGCAGTAAATGCTACGTCGCTCTCGTCTCTCTCCTTTTCTCTAAGACTCTGTGTTATAAGAAGCTTGCTTGACGACGAGCAAAACAAGAGTTAAAATCCCGATTGCGTATAGAAGCTTATTACCCAAACATAATAACAATAAGAACAATATATTGCAGAGCTGTAAACAACATAAAACTATCTACACAAACACATTACGAGTCTTAATGTTCAGGCATTCCAAACTCATCCCTCTTTGGTTTTGGTGATTCGTCTCGAGACGGTATTGACATGGACGGTCCTTCTAATCGAGCAAGGATCATGTCCATCTTCTTCCCAATGTCCAGGGTCTTGTCTTCATTCATGGTTAATCGGCTCTAATGAAGACATTGTCCAAATGTACATTAGCGCTTGCTTTTGAAGTTAACCGAGTCAAGTAAACCCAGACAGGGGACCATGTCAAGCTTACTTCTAATATGCTCATGGTATGTGTCAAGACATCCATTTGTCGAACCAAATGTTGCAATGTTTGAGCAACTTGATCGGACATAGTTCTCACTTCTAAAGGTGTCGTGTACTGCCGGTTCTCTTCACTTGCTGTGACTCCATTACCGGCATCTCGTCGTGGCGATTGCTGTGGTCCTGGTAAACGCACTCCGTCATCTCCAAAGTCCTGCAGACACAAAACAAGAGTCAGCGACGTCCATCATTTGCAAAAGCAAGTTGATCTCTACCTTCTCAGCCAAAATGGAAGCTCCCACATCAACTATTTGTGGATTGTCCGTTGCGGCCCATGTTGGCTGTTTACTCGATTTCGTAGCTGAGGCTTGCGGATGAATCTTTCGGTGAGTTACACCTCTAGGACCTGTTGAAGGGGTTGGTGCAGCCGTGACTCGTGACCCAGCAGCACCATGTGCATTATACAGATCTGTATGAATCGCATGTGATTCATGAGGGAATTCGAAACTGGCGTGCATAGATTTCGAAGTCACTAAAAGACGGTTTGAAGAGTCAACGATTTTTCTTTCTGCCAGCATTGAAGGGAAAATCCAAAGCTGCACACACATACAATTGTCTTCATTTTCTTTTCTGGCATCCAGGGCAAAGTCTGCGTCGACTGAATCAAAGTTGCTCTTCCACACCATAACTTGCGAATCACTACCACCAGTAGCGAAAAAGTCACCATTTGCTGAGAACGAGGCACTTGTAGTAGGCCCATTCTTGTGCCCGTGTAGTGTGTAAAACAGATGTCCCTCTTTCAGATCCCATATCTGTAGGCATGGTTGCTTATTAGTGAACGGTCGTTGTATTTCAAACTCCAGCAACGATAGTTTACCTTGACTACACCGTCCATGCCAGTAGAGACCAGCCACTCCCCTCCTTTACCACCAAACGAAATTGAATTGACTCCGCCAACAGATAATCCTCCCTCTGTTGTTGGTGAGCTACCGGCGTGTGCATCACCGTAATGCTGAAGTAATTTATGTGTTCGAATATCGAATAATTTGATTGATCTGTCGCTTGACGCTGATGCGACAATGGTTCCAGCAGGGTGAAATGCGACCGAGGAGATCATCCTATACAGAGTGTGGAGGTTCAGCTGTTTGCGCTTACACGAGCAATTGTACTCGCACTCACCCAGTATGATCCCAGTATGTCTTGACACACATTTTCGAACTCAAATCCCACAGTTTCACAGTCTTGTCGTCACTTCCTGACACGACCAGCCTTGAATCTGGAGAGAAACTGGCCGTTCGTACCCAATTCAGATGACCGGCCAAAGTGTACTGGAACTTTGTGCGAGCCGTGGCCCAAATCTGAAGAGGAAGGTCATTTCGTCAATCTATTACGCATCTTGTTCCGCGCTAAATTCTTGAAATACCTTGATAGACTTGTCGTCTGATGCGGTCAGTAGCGACTCTCCATCTCTTGAAAACTGTACAGTTCTGACGGTTGATGTATGGGCGTTGAATACAGTTACGTCTCCTTTGCTACAGAGTAGAAAGTTTGTAAGCTAAAACCGTGATTGAGATCCGGAGCCGACAAGCGAGTGCATACACATTAGGAGTCCAGAGTCGTACTGTTTTGTCTCTAGACGATGACGCCAACAAGTGGCCAGTTGGTGAAAAGTCCACACTTGTTACAGCTGCCTACCACCACGTTACAGTCTAACAGGTTAGTTCTTGTCCCTTTACTGAGCAGATCTCGACAAAGTTGACCTTCCATCAACTAGTGTATGTTCAGTACAATGTGATCTCACCTTGTGCCCGACGAATCTGAATGCTCTTAGTTGTGGTTTAAAGTTCCAAACCATTACTGAATGATCCATTGACGAAGATGCCAATTGAGTCATGGATGGTTTGAATGCGACACCGGTGACTGCATCTTTATGTCCTCGAAAGGATCTTTCTAGTGTTGGATCCTGCATTTGAATTGTACTTGCTGCCGCCTGTTCAATGACATTTAGAAATAATAAGTTGATGTTTCACCTTTGGTCGAGTTAGGTGGCAGGAAAGTGGACTTGCCATGATGATCAATTAAAGGTTCAACTATAGATGAGCCTAGTAAGTATATGGAAATAGACGAAACCTTCACACTTGTTGCGCAACTCGTTCCAAATGTCTTGAAAATCGCAAAAAGTGAATTGAACTCACCCGTTGTCTTTAGCTTCGAAAAGTAGAAGAGGAAGGACGGTTCCTAGATCCACAGTCGTCCGAATCTACAACCTATCGAAGGTCCCTATAAACGAGCCTCAATCTTTGCTCTTGGGGTTTAAATTCACAAAATCACAATATGGCCGAACGGAAGCAGTCTGTGACTCTGGATATGATAGAGACGCACGCTCCGCCGTCGCCAGATAGTCCCGACTCTGGTATATATTTTGATCTTTTTCTCTTTGTGATTTCAACGCAAAATCATTGACATCCGTCACGCTCCTAGAGACACCGTCGATAAGCTTTATCTCATTAAACGGAGCCTTCAAGGGACGACGTGTATTCACGCTAGATGCTCCGATATATCTAGGCCGTCAAATTGATAACACGGACGGCCTGAATCCAGTGAATGCTCTACGCTTTCCCGCCAAGGTCGTATCTAGGCAGCACGCTCTGATCCAATTTAAGAATGGAAAGGTATTGTATTATAGTATTCGTCAGATTCTTGCCTTTATTTGGGAGTCCAACGTGTTGCCAAATAGGTTTATCTTCAAGACACGAAATCCTCAAGTGGTACTTTTCTGAATGGACACCGTTTGAGCGCACAAGCACAAGAGTCTGCTTTGACCGAAATACATGATGGTGACATACTGAAACTGGGAGAGGATTGTGATGTCAATGGAGGTACAAAGTGAAAGTGTTTAAACTCACTATAACAGAATGATGTTGACGGTTTTTTGTCTTGATAGTGTTGCACTCCAGTATCGTGATGAAGGTCGAAACCAAGTCAGGCAGTGGCAAAGCAGATGTAGAAGTCTCGAATGTCGAAGGGGAAGACGTGTCTGATGATGAGGACGAGTACTTGTGCGTGATTCGGTGAACGTTTGCGTTTCTTGTTGCCAACTAATCACGTTCGTCTTTCAATCATTACAGGGACTTTAGCACAGATCCAACAGTCAAGAATCACGTGGATTTAGAATTCCAAGCTATGTGGGCGCTATTAATGGACGGCATTGAACCACCCTTGACACGATTACAAGCTATCATCGATGGTCGACTAGATCCAACTGCGATCATGAGTGAACCAACAATACCCGCGCTTTCACGGCTAGCTCCATCTGGCAAAGGTAGCTCGCCGGAGCCTTCTAGGATGGCAAGAGTCTGAGCAAGACCGTGCGATGTGTTCCCAACTCCAACTTTGTGAATATCTGATCTAAATACAATGATTCTCATACGCGAAAATATATACATATTCAGTCAGCGACGCGTTCTCTCAAACGTTTGGAGTTTTGTCTGTCTTAGTCGTGAAATTTTTGAAGCAACGTTCGTTTTGTTCGCAGCCAATATCAAACATGGATCCTCAAATACAGCAACTAGAGGGCCAGCCTATAGTGACTCTGTAAGTTAATTTCAATCTGTACTTCCTTTTGCAATACTCGTAATAACCAAACATCGCCTCTTTCGACTAGACATCCATTGTCAGGATATTCATTCGGTGTCAAGGAGCCTCAAATGGAAGAAGATCCATCTGTAGCCGCCAGACTAGCTCGATTGCAAGCAGAATACGGCACCCAGGGAATGAGGAGGAGTGTAGAAGCTGTCTTGGTAGTTCATGAACATGGACATCCACACATCCTAATGATGCAAATCGCCAATACCTTCTTCAAACTGTACGTATATATTATAAATGGATATGATTATGAGAATGGATTTGTGCAAACTCCTTTTTCGTTGCGTTGGTCTAGGCCAGGAGAGCAACTACGACCAGGAGAAACCGAAGTTGATGGATTGAAGAGATGTCTGAACATCAAGTTGGCGCCGCCGAATTCTATTCCGCTAGAGACAGATTGGGAGATTGAACATCTATTGACTGTCTGGTGGAGGCCAAACTTTGAAACCTTTATGGTATCTATTGTTATGAGCACTTTTTCTCGCCTCCTAGTTCACCTCTTTCACTTCTAGTACCCATACATACCGCCCCATATCACAGTAAATCAATGATCTTATCTATTGCCTCTTGCTAGTTTGTAATAACACTCGCTTTCTCGTAGCAACCCAAGGAGATGAAGAAGGTCTACCTCGTCAAAATGCCACCAACGAGTATGAAATCGTTTTGAGATCTCGCATTGATGTGCAATATACTGACTATTGCTATTTTTGTTGTAGAGCTTCTATCAGTCCCAAAAAACATGAAACTACTAGCAGTACCACTCTTTGAATTGTATGATAACTCGGCACGTTATGGACCTCAACTAGCTGCATTACCTCATTTACTTGCACGTTTTCACTTCCAGTATACATAACCATTGCGAAAAATATATGTTGTTTTTGAGGTATATTATTTAGGTCTATGTGTTGGTGATTACGAAGAACAAGGAAATTATCATCGATTCTTGCAGCAGAAATTTCACATTGTGGTCTCCTCCGCGACCATGTGCTTCTTCTCACCCGTGGCAACCTTCTCGGTGGACCACGAGTTTCGCCACAACATGTATGCATTGTGGAAGAACTCGCCATAAGCAAAAGTTCTCCAGCTTGCAAACAAACCACTCCATGATCCAATGCTCTCCTTGGCCCTTTGGATGGCTAGCAAGACAAAACATGCCACACTGCACAAGAACCCGATTCCATCATTAGCAAATCCGGCAGCTGATAACCCTCCAATCAATACAACGACGAATGAATCTTGTCCTTCGCGAGTCAGTCCACCAGCGTCTTTGGCCATGGATGCCAATTCGATACCTGATGGTTGGGGTGTGTCAGAGTGTGAGACAAACAAAGTCCAATAGAACGCGACTAAAAAAGCCAAACACTATTCCCACAACTACATTCACAATTCGAGGTATGCGTACCAGAGAACACAAGCATAACACCCAGTACAGAGTTGGGGAAGGCTGTGAAGATACCAACCAAGGACGATCCGAATAGGATTCCCAAGATGAGTTTGGCTGCACCGAGGACGTAGAGGGATACCTCAGTTCGTGCCCCATATCGGTATTGGCCGGCAAGTCCACCAGACTAAAAAAATCCATCAGGTTGTTTCTGCGAATGGAATCCGACGATGCCTTACCCCGTTACAGTATGGAATACATCCAAACCACATGGAAATCATGTTCATGCAACCAAGGAAGAGACCAACTCGGGTGATGGGAGCAACTGGTTGAGCCTAATTTGTCTGAAGTGTGAGTTCACAGGTCTGAAGAGATCATAATTCCAGATGAAGTGCGCGTATTCGAAACCTTCAACGAGTTCTTCCGCAAGCACATGTTTTTTTATACCTTTTCAGGGTACAAGTCATCGGCCAACTTGGTGACAGCAATGACAGAGTTTAGGATACTGAGAGGCAATTGACCCAAAGCGGCATTAACGAAACCAATACGGAAGTCAGTAGCACTAAATACATATAGGAAGAAAGTGTTCAGCATGCATTTTCAGAAGCTCAACAAAAAAGTCCCAACCAACCGTTGTCAAATACCTTGGTACGCTCGCAGTAGGCCAAGTTGAGAATGGTGCGGGTACCGTGTATTTCCCAGGAGAGAATTGCCAGACACGGAGGAAGGCAACTAACAATCCGAATGTGAAGATGATGATAGCTGAGGTGTTTACTCGAGCATGGTACATGGCAACACACAATCCGAATGTGATCATGCAAATGACGACTAGGCAAAACAAAAGAACGAGTTAGCCGCGTAAATTCAACGATGAAAGCAGAGAGCGACTTTTAAAACTTACAATTGTCCATCCATTGCCAGTTCATGAAGCCCCAACCGTACGATTGAGAGATAGTAGCAATACCCTTCAATACAAAAGTGACACCAGTTCCGAGTTGAATACCACGTACCTACAAAGCAAGCATGTCATTGGTTAGTTGAACTAATACAGACTGTTGAAGCTATAGACCAAGCAGCAGTTGAATGATGCTGAGTAAGCGTTGAATACCACGTACAATAGGCATAGGAATGCTCCTGTAGAACAACAACATAGTCTTGGTAGCTGACAAGACAAAGACTACAGCAGCAACAATAAATCCAGCAGCCATGACTTGTCCTTGAGTCAGGTTACCAGCTAGCGCGTAAGCAGCAATTGATTTCATTGGCTGCACACAGACCTAACGTTGCATATGATTGTGTCAACCGCAAGTTTTGATTGTGTTTGACGTACAGCAAAACGATCACGTACAGGAATGCCAAAGACTGCGCCACTAAGAATATTGAATATACCACCGAAGATTAATGATGCTGCCAAATTGATTTGACCAGCTTTGGCCATGGACACCAAGATGGGGAGTAGAGTGCCCATGTCACCTTTAAAAAAAAGGAATGATGAGTTCCAAATCTGTGGAAAGCAATGTAGCCGGATCCAACAGGGAGAAGATCCTAAATGTAGAATCACATTCCACTGACCTAGAGATCCACTAATCTCTGCTATCGTCAAGTTCCTCCATAAGAAACTGAGATAGTTTCCCCTGTAGCTGTCATCCCAACGAGGAATTGAATGCTCAAGGGGTGAAGTAGTACCGTAATCAGCGGGTGCATCATCTGCTTTTGGTGCTGTTGCCAGTGCAGCCATTGCTTTAGATGCGTTTGACCAAACCGTTGATGTGGGGGGAACGAACGAGCTGTCGACGGAGTCTGAATGCTTGGTGAGTACAAGAACTTCCACTACCTTTCCGAGAGGGATAGACTTTAATCACGTTACCTTATCTATCGTTCACGATACCCATCATCTCTGTCCTATCAGGAGCCGTTGCTTCAAGATCCCACTGACGGAGCCGGAGCTGATAAGAAGCTGTTGTCCATCCTTCAGCTCTAATCTGATCTACTGCGTCCGCTGTGCTGCCAAGTAGCAATCAATTGCTATTGACACATCTTTGATTTTATATCGTGAACTATGTTCAATTGCTTACAACATATGACGGTATGTGAAACCGATTAGAACGACTGTGCTTTTGTGCAATAAATTGTTGCTTTCAATAGTTTTATTCTATCTAAGAATTCAAATACAAGGCGGGGCCCGCTTCTGAGCTCGCCATTCTTCCTACTAAGCATGCAATCGCTTGTTGCGGCATTTTGGGACTAATGTCTTCGTTTCTCGCAAAATCAACGGGAAGCAGTGCCAGCCAAACTCCGCTACAAATGAAAGCACACATTGGTTGCTCAAGTGTATTCAAAGTATTAGTAGCTCTGCGAAAAACTCCCGCCCGACACCTTGTCGACCCGCATTTCTTACGTGAAGTTGGAAACTGTACCATGTATGTCAACCGCCACAGTGCATTCAAGAACTCTACAACCGAAATCCACGGAGAGTGCATCTATCTACCCTTGTCAACATTGGAAACCACTGCTCTCCTCCCTTGTGTGTCTGTACACTCCATTGTATCAGCCATCGTCAATGGTCTCTTGCTAGCAGCTTTGCTAAGAGACAAGAATCTCTGGAGTCGCAAAATCTTCTAGCTCAACACTGCTCTGGCTCATTGCATCTTCATATGGACTCAGCTAATAATTGCGTCTGTGTCGCTGCAAATCGGTGGTGTGATAGAGTCTCATTTTCTATGCTACTATGTATGATGCAGTCATATTGCTGTTTTGTACAGCAGCAAACACTCTTACGCTTGGTATGATTGCTTTTGACCAATATTTGATTATTGTTAAGGTATGCTGATGTCTCCCTCCTTTCTGGCAAAATTACAGGCAGTGTCTGAATCATTGGTTAGACTTGCAGAGGATCAATATGGGAGAACGATACATAGCACTTGGCTGCAAATTGTCGTTGGCATGGGGACTCATTGCGCTCTGTGCCGTCTTGATCAGCCAAAATGCAGGCCGGCAAGAGCCTCCTGTCTTCTGCCTCCACGACTGGAGCTCAAGGGACCCAAAACTTATCGCAGAAACAACCGCTCAAGCCTTCGAAATTTTCGTTGGAGTCTCTGCGGCAATTTTCACATGTCTGGCAGTCTGACTCGAAATTAAAGAGGATCTACGGCTGATGGGCTCGAGATTTAAGAGTTGACCAGAAAATCAAGCCTTTGCAGCGAATGTCACACATATTACACCAAGAAAAAATCAGAACCATTGCAACGAATGCCCGACACGGCAATGATGGGTTGTGAATGATATATTGCCATATAGAAACAAGATGAGCTCCAAAAAAGTTTATAGATGCTGAAGTTTACAGAAACTGGTGCCCTCACTTCTTTTTACCAGTTTTGTCTTCAATTTCCACATATTTGCTGTCACCGTTCTTCTGGAACGGGATGCCGTACTTGTCCCTCAAAGAATTCGACACTTCAGTGCTTTTAGGTCCTTGAATCATCACTTCAGATATTGGTTTGGCTGTTTTGGCGACAGGCAACGACGTGACTAATAATCACATGGAACGAAACATAAAGTCAGACGAAGAAGAAACACAAGTTCGGGAAAAGAAGGTCAACGGTTCATACCTGAGGTTGAACTAGCACAAAGCAATTTCATTTCATCTCCAAACGTATTTGGATCAATCTAAAAACGATCCATTAACTTATGATCAGCATGCAACATGTCCAACAGAATTTAAATACCTCCCAAGCCTCGAGATTGGTCACTTTTGTAACCGTTTTCGTTCCTCGCACCCTTTCTACCACTATTTGTATTGGCTTGATGGATCCCTTCCTAAGCTCAGGATTTCTGCCAGGAAAGGTAATCTCAGAATAACTTTGCATCTTGTCAGCCAATCTGTGAGAAAGTATGTTCTAGATCAATCTCTCATACTTTACAACACGCCGCCATTGAGACCTTACCGAGTTTGTATCGCATCTCGTGGTATCAAATCCATAGCTTCGTCTCTTTGTAATATAGCATCTGATAGGATTGGATCTAGTTTCACCAATCTAAAAATGCAAAATCTTGTCAGAAGAGTCACACAAAAATAACTTACATGAAGCACTACTGACCTCGGAGTTTTCACATCTACCAATTCCTTGACTTTGACGTACTCTTCTATAAAAGCACGTAATTCTTTAGCCGTGAAGAGAGTTTCCTTGTCTACTCCTAATTCTCCAAACAGACGCAAAACAGAGGCTCCATGAGGTTTATACAGGTCAGACACGGTTATTGAAGAGGAGGAAAGAGACGATGACGATGCTTGTTTTGAGCTCGAAGCTACTGATGAAGAGGAAACAGCAGCCGATGCTTGAGGCTTTTGGTCTCCAGCAAGCTTGGATGGCGGAACCAGTGATAAGACACTGCAAAAAAGCAGGAGGTCAAACCTGACAGTGTGCTACTACGATGACTTTTCACTCAACTTTACTCACTCTTTATGATCTTGAGCCACACTGGTAATCATCAATTCTCCTCGAACCTCCTTTGTTTTCAATAAGCCGGCCTTCTCGTACTTTTTGAGGAACTTGGCCAGCTTTTTGAATGTTGATCCCTTTATATCAATTGATGTCCCTGCTCTTCGGGATGGCAAGATGTATCCTGAGTACAGTTGAGAGGCTGATATTGGATAGGCTCGTGGATCTTCAGGCACCTTAAGCTTGATTGCTGTAAATAGAGCTGTCTCGAGCAAACTATCCATTTCTAAACGTAGGTCGACTGGTTTAGTACACCAAAAAAGTCGAAAGGACAATTCGTCACAAATTCGTAATACCTGCAGGCGTGATTTTCGATATGGCTGGCTCATCGTTCTCATCACCTTCCTGTTGACTATCAATTGTCTCTGATTTTTCAATGACCTCATTATCTTCCCAATTCTCGGGCAGTTTCTCTGCTATTCCAACTTCCACAGGTGTTGACTCTTCCTCAGGATCAACCTGCCACGCATCCTCATTTACCTCATCATCTTCTTCGTCGGCTGTTGTCGAAGCGTCGTGTGCAGGAATAAACTTATTACCTAGAGCCCATAGTGAGTCACCAACAGTATGCAGCACCTTTATACCTCGTCCTCTCATATTTGATTGCAGCACTTGTGCTTTCGACATACACGAGAGACCTACAACCATTGGTAGATGACTCTGTGGTGTTATTATTGACATAGGAGCATTGGAGTTGAACTCTGGCAAGCCTTCTGGTTGCACGATGACACCAGGAAGCATGAGATCAGCACCTTCCATTAATCGCTTCAACACTGGCCGATGCGTTGCGAGTGTGGGCATGATATGTGGGAGTTTCCAACACGTATAGCAAGTGGGTAGCAAGGGCAAATCATCAATTCGAAAGAAACTCGGTTGAGAATCAATCAAATAGGCGACACCATTCTCTCCAGCACTTGTCACTAACTTGACGACTATGATCTCTCCTTCTCCATCTTTTCCTTCCTTTACTGGTAGTATGGATGCTAACTGTTCCTCTGTTATTGAAGGGAAGAGCGATAGGATTTCTTGTCGAAGCTTTCGGCGATCAGAAGATCTAACGTGAAAATGAGATGTTTAAAATTGAAACTGTGTGTTTAATGACAAGGATGCGATGTGATGTTTGGTCCATTTGATATTGGCAAAAACGACATGAAAGCTTATATAAAATATAACAAGGCATACCTCAACGGCGATTTGAACTTGATTTGTTGCAAATTCTTGCGGAACTATGACAATTGTCGAGTCAGAATCTTCGATTTTCAGCAACACAACAATTCAGGACAACAAGCTCAAGCTTGCTTAAGATGGACGTATTTACCATGGCTTCTAGCCGATTCGATGCACTATGTATATGTTACTAGTATACTACAAATAAGATTATGATCTAGATATCAAGACTATCGCAACAACAAAGAGTGCAATCGCTAAACTAAACGATGAGAGCTTGGGGACGGATACCGTCAAGAGCTCTTTTAACGGCGCCGAGGCCGTATCTTCTGCCTGTATCGAGTCGTTATGGACTATCGCTTCCTCTATAGACGCGTCTTCTGATAGGGAATATGTGTGCTCAATCAATTCGACACTCTGAACACTACCGAAAAAGTCCGTCACAAGCGACTACACATAAAAATAAATGAGACCAATACCCAATTCAAAACCAAAATCAAGCGCACCTTCTCTCTACCGCGTGGGAACAAATCCTCTCGAAACCCAGGATGAGAATGAATCAACCTTGGATCATACGTTGCAAACAAGACCGCCAGAGTAGATTGGTCTTCTGGGCCTAATCTCTCCAATACTTCCAAATTGAAATGCGTGAAACTGTCCACAACAGCAACACCAATTTCATTGTCTGCGTGATGTGAATACGAGTTTTCACCAGTTAGTGATGATCCCGTTCCCAAAATGTTTGGAGAATGGAGCTGAGAGAATAGTGATGTGGCTTGGCATGTGTCTGCGATGAAGAGTATCTCATGATATCTATGAAGAGAGGTCACCAAAAAAGCCGATCCGCAGGAAGTGGAGTATGCAACCTCAACTACCTTCTCTTCTCCCACATTTGAGCAAAAGCATCTCCAATATCATGACTTGATATCTCCTCGGTATCCTGAAACTTTAGAAACTCGTCTCCGCCATGTCCCGTCAGAAACACCATAATATTACTTCGATCATCAGTCAGCAATCGTTTTGAGCGTGGCATGTCTGGATGAACACGTCCTATAGCAGTTCCACATAAATAAGAAACTGTTGCAAAGAACCAAATGTGATGTTCCCTTTACCGGTAAGCAATCGAATAAAGTTCTCGACAGTGACTTCATATCCTCGATAGTCGACTTCAATATTAGCACCATATAAATCAATCTTTTTGGCATTGTTGTTGAAGACTGTGGCTGGAAATCTGTTGCGTGCGTTACAGGCAACATCGTCGGCCAGCATGAGAATAATGTTGGAGTCTGGTATTCCTAGTCTCTTTACAGTTCGATACATTGACAGAGTGTTTGCGATGTGGCGATAGTTGAACCTGTTATAGAAGATTCAGGTATGTCAGCAATATTTCATCGAGATTTCCAACTTGTTAATGTCGAGATCCATACCAATAACGCGACGTGTCAACCTAAACAATGGAAGGTTAAAAATGTGATGTCGAGTAAAGCGTCGATAGAAAAGCAAATACATACCAGTACAGCCCAATTATTCGTATGTCCACTTCTAGAAAAGAAGCCGTCAAGTGCGATCTCTCTATTGTTTACATCTTGCCAAATTGTCTTGCTCAAATGTTCAACATTGCTTCCTTGAGTCTTGTCCAGACTTGCACTTGCGCATTGCGCGAGATAGAGAATAATTCCAATCGGTAATGCATAGCATAGCTGCATCTTTTCTATGCGCAACTGCTTTCGGACTCACCAACTCTTCATCCAAGCTGATTTTTCGATTGCTTGGAAGATGTAAGTGGACGCATTACAGAATTATACAACAAATTTATGTTCAAGGCCACGATTCACGGAGGGAAAATTGAAGGGGAATTACAAATTTACAGACTACAGTATCAACAAGAGCTAAAAAAAATTACAAGTGTGCAAAGGTCACCAAGGGGTTTTAAGAGAGACACAGTTTAAACCAAAGAGACAAGCTCTACTTGGTGAGAAACACGTCTACAAGTTGATTATCCTTGGTATGATAGCCAGTTCGGTATACAGTGCCATCATGACGAACAAGGAATATGGGAATAGGTGGTTCATCGACAACAAAGGGTTCGACAGGCCCTTCATCGTCATTGATAATGTTGCTGTATATATCATTGACTTGAGGGACATGAGTTACCAAAACAGATGAAGACTAAGTGACAAAAACAGAAGAGGGTTAAAACTACCATGCTGCGTCAAAAAACGATGGCTGTTGAGACCAGATCCTACATGAAAGTCAGTCTGAGCAGGAAAAGCTCCAATAAAGACAATCATATCACGCTCAAAGTATTGGCCATGGAGTTGCAAGATACCAGGAGCCAACTGTTTGACTTGATGGATCATGGGAATACTAGTGACGAGCATCGTATTGGCAATTGGTGGTAGAGGCGGAGGATAGAACGTTGTCTCGGTAACACCTGTATACATTGTCATAATGGTTTTAAAATGTGTCGGAATGTTTGCTGGAAATATCGCCAATACTTACCAACTCCAACAATATTCCAAACTGCACAATCACCAATAGCCACATCCTCATCACTATCACCACCACCGCCATCGCGACGAGTGGGTGTCTTGCGAATATAAGAGGCAGACGTAGCACTATCGATTGACATGGTTGACGAGACACTAGTACCTAGCAACGATTCACTACCTGCCAACTCTGTGTTGCTAGGTGATGCAATCATTTCCATAAGAGAGTCTTTGGGACTAGATGCTAACTCACAGCCACGAGAAAACCAGAGGTCGATAGTTCCAACTAGATTTGCAATCCAGGCAACGCTATCAGACTGTACGTCGCATAGCTCGCTAGGATGCACTTGCAGAGTGATCTTGTTGAGTTGAGACACAGCAATTCGATTACGAGGAGACTCTATAGGACAGAGTGTTGGCAAAGTTAGAAAAAGAGCAGAGAGAGGATTTCTTTCTCACCGAAAAAAAGAGGAAATTCAAACCTCCAATGCCTTCGTTTACATCCATAGACGTTGCTTTACCATCAGCTTTACGAATAATCAAAGCCTTTGTTGCCAAACCACTTCCTTCATGATGTAAGACGACAGTATCATCGAAGTACAAGGCGTCGTGGGACATGGGTAGTTGGTTTCCAGTAGATTCGATAGCCTGTTCTACCTCTTGATCTTTGAGGATGTCAGGCAGTTCAGGGTCAAGGATATTCCATATGGTGAATGCATCCCATTTTGAGGCTGATGGCACGAGAGAGTCATTTCCAGGACTGAGGCATACAAACCTTGTTCAGGGTAAAAAAGAGTAAGATTTGTGATTCGAACTTATGGTATGCTTAGGCCAAACCTTGTACTAGTACTTTGAGATCGAGTGCGATTGAACAGACAGATATGAGAGCCGGAGGTAATCGTATCTGACAGGCAGAAACGGTGGTTGAGACAGCTGCGACTTCTTAACAGGTTTGTTGCTGTGCATCTTAAGCGAAAAAAATCGGATTCGAAACAAAGTACACACCACCAGCAAGAATAGAGTCTGTACGTTTATGAGCGGATTTTTTCTTTGATGGCTTTGAGATAACTGTGATTTCAGTTGACCTCAAGGCACCAACATGTACATTTTGACCATCCATATTCTATTAAACGAAAAAAAAGGATTACCTTAGCCAATGGACCTGCAACAAACAACCAGAAGCACAACTCACATCAAACAAATCTAAATAAAGATGAAATTGTCGTCGTTTTTCAGACTGTTCGTTACAAGATACAGTCTTGAAAACGACACGTGCGACAGGTACTTCGGCCTCTTGTTGAGTGCAAGTTTCACTGACTTGTGGTACAGTTCTGCCCAGGTGAGAGACTTTGGTGGTTTCAATAGTGACTGGAGCAGAGATCGAGTTCTCATCTATTCCAGCACCATCACGAGCAACTGGTTTATTGAAATTAAGATAAGCGTTGAGAGTAGTGGTTGCACCAGGAGCACCGAGAGCAGTCAAGGCATCACAGTTTTCGATTGGCAAGCTCCATGCGCTACCAAATAAGATTCCTATTGGTGGTGGAGTAAAGTATCTGGTTGAAATGAATAGGGAAATTAGCTGATATTAATAAGGGCGAAGCTGGACTTCAGAGACAAACTGACCGTTTCTCCTTGCCGTACGAGCGTTGGACGCATTTTGGGGTCAGAAAAATGACAGAGCACTCATTTGAGCGAGTCTGCATTCGATGCATGACAATGTGACTAGGTACAAAACAATTACCACAGTTAGCTTTACCTCCACGAGACAAAATAAAAACAAGTTAAAAAGTTCTACACGCAAACTCGCCTCAATCGTTGCAAATCAACTTGAGCATTTGCTTCCATCATTTGAGAGTCAGAGTTAAGAATCAACCTTTCCCATTCTTCCCAATCGTCTTTGGCAGATTTCCGACGTGGACTAGCACGGGGTTTGGGTCGTTTAGCAATACGATTTTCGGTAGAAGGAGGTTTGCGTTTCTGAGCTGACGTGGGAGAATCAACATCGTTTGGAGATACTGTTACTGGTGATGCAAATTGCTCGGGGAAGTACATTGACCAATCTTTATCAGGACCTTCGGTGTTTCAAATATGGTCAATAATGGTTTAATAGGAACGCAATAAGCAGACCACTACTTCAAACCTACGAGTTTCTGTGGAGCGCAACCAAGGGCCAGTCATGAGAGTCAGTCCTCCTGCAGTGTGCTGACCTAGATCCAACATCGTTCCAACAGAAGACATGGTTGTATACTGAGTATAGTGTTGTGCCTGATGATCTAGATGATGAAACCAGCAAGATTACTTCGAGAACCAAGATTTCTGAAGAATCTACTTGTGACTCACCATACTGAAGGTGTTGAGAATAGTCGATTCCAAACTCATTGTCAGCAGACTCTTCGAGCAAAATTGGTCGTTTTAAGGCTGAAGTAGGACCACAACGTACACTGTTTCCGATACGGTAAGGGTAAATTTGTTGGGCTTGGGATTTAATGTTTTGAGTAGATTTGGTTGAACCACCACCATGACTATTATCTTCTTGTTCTAACGACTGTTGAGCAAATAATTGACTAGCGAGATCATATTCTTCGGGCTGATTCATGTTTTGTTCAACACGTGTCTCGAGGCAAGCTGGCAATTTAGCGACTGGGTACTCGACAACGAATTCTGACAACAAAAGTAACTTTTGACTACTCAGATTTGATCGAGACTTTGATCTTTAGCACTCTTCAACTGCGTTCTTGTACGCTGGTGGCAGTACTCTTCGTTTGTCGTGTGAGACTTTGAGTCTCGAGTTGACATCTCGCGAAGGTGTCATCCATGTCAACTGTGTGAAAAGTGGCGGATACTTGACATTCTAAGCAGCTGATACCACTCAAAGGTGTAAGAACAAGCCGAAGTATAGATAACGATCGTCGTCTTTCCCAACACATGCACTAGATGTTCACAATGTTGGAAAGGTATCAAGGTGCACGAACCAGCAATTGGAAACCACACGGTTTTAAGTAAAATGTATCAGGATCAAAATATCTAAATCTAATATCCTGTCTTGAGTGATGACAAGGGAAGAGCGAAGAAGGCAGATGTATCTTTCTTTTTCCACCAAGGGAAAACATCACAAGATCCGTAACGTTCCCAGAGGACTGCACATCTCCGAATGAGGTCCATGGCAGGGCGTGGGCCCTGGCTCGTACTAGCATTATTGGCATTCGTACGGCATGCCCTGTGTCAGCTCGACAATTCCACTAGCGCACCATGTACCCAGGATGTGGTTTTGGACGACTTTAGGAATACAAGTAACCGGTATATCAACTCGTCCTTGGCTACTACCAACTTGCAAGGAGGCGTCTATTCCAGTAAGTCCCTCCTTGATCGCCAACGGTCCCTTTTCTCTTGCATCAAACCACATACAACCCAACCACATGTGTTGACTAGCTCTGGGACTTACACCGGTCGTTGCAAGCGGTGGCCAAGCAACATTCGTAGCTACTGCACTACCAGTTGCCGGATCCGCTACTCGTAAGCCTTCACCTGCCATCCAAAAAACCGCAATCAAAATCCACCACCGCCACTGAAACTTGACACTATGTTACTTAGCTGCCAACTATCTCGCTTTCGGGTTTACAAAGTCAGGCTGCTCAAACTTGTCTACATGCAAGTATAGAGAATCATGTTTACACATCGACAAGGAAACTCATATCCGGATCTTCGTTCCTCTAGTTGTTGGGGTAGAATTGACGGCCACCTTCCCTGCCAACACCAGCTTTCAAATACGGCTGCATCGCAAGTCACTTGATTGCGTGACCTCTTTGAATGGTAAGAGGTCAACCTTGAATTCCACAAATAAAATGCTCTCACACACGTTTTCCAGACTCGACCCTATTAAGCTTCAGCGACCTATATGACCCAACAACACCGACTCTGCTCTCCATTCCCTTCAACAGTTTCTTTAATTCTACGTGGAACAGCTCATACCCGGTCACCGACATATCGCTCGAAAACATTGTTCCAGTTAATCAGACCTTTATATTTAAAACAATAACGCTAGTGGGCAGTTGCTCATCCGATCCGATAACGGCAAAACCTCTCAGTAGGCTGACCCGACAAGTGATATTGGCTGCAGCCCTGCTTGGGTGTCTGGTCTTGTATCTTGGCACGGGACTGATTCTATTTTATTTCGGGTATGTTGAATAGTTCTCAATGTGTGTCTTCCAAGTTGCTGAAGACTGCATTTGCCTTGTAGGTATCACGCCGTTCACAACAGATAATACTTTTCCCCCAGGTTTTACTTTATTCCATATTTGAACATTTCGTAAATACACTCTTTAAGGCACGTGAATACGTCTTCTTTGCAAGGCACATAATCATGGACTCCTTGGCTGTCGGAATATCACTACTTCCTTGACACCGACAAAATATCACGAAGCCGTTGTCTTTGTGTTTGCATCAGATCGAAACGAGCAAAGCAACACTTATACATCATCTCTAGGTTGCGAGAAGACGAGTAGAGGTATGCACGTGTCCATTTTTAGTTGTTAAAATACGGTGAAATGTTATTTGCGTCAGCCGAAACTCTGGTCAGAAGATATTTCGCGTATCAGGACATCTCAAGTCCGGAAAGACATCGCAGGTAGAGCGTTACTTGCACAGTTACCTCCATCACGCCAAGGGCTAAAGATCTTTTCAGGAACAGTACCTTTCATTGCTTATGGTGATCCGAGATTCACGTATTGATTATACATACAATCATTTCATTCCTTCCAAGCAAGGACATTTCAAGCAATTATATTTTTGGTTTCAGTTCTATGCATTGGTTGATTATATTCATGTATTTATCGTTAGGATCGAGTCCCACCACAAAATTTACCTGTTCTAGTTGTTATTCATGGCACCAGCAGAACAGATGCACGACTGGAATGCACGGAATTTGTTGGTACTGTTTATAGGCTTCAAAAAAACATATCTTGAGGTCTCGCATGACATGACTTGACTCTCACATTCCAAACATCTATCCAGAAAAGGATAAAATGGTTGTAGTGTACCCTCTCTTTCCTATTGGAACTTCTCAACCATTTTGAAGTGGAAAACTTGCACGTTGGAGCGGGCTGATTCATAGAGTTCATAGATTTGGGTCTTGGCACCTTTACAAATTCTTACTCACTATTCTCACCTCTTAGTTTCTGAAATGTTGGGTATGATCAAGTCTTGCTTCCAATATTGGAAGATGTAGCCTCGATATACGCTGTCGATGCTAAAAAAATGATATTTGGTTGGCTTCTCTGGTGGTGGACAATTCGCTTCTAGGTTTTACATGCTCCACCCCTCATGTCTACATACGCTGTCTATTGGAGCTCCGGGTATTTCCAAGTCAGAGGTTGAATGGCTTCCTGCTGCCGGATATCATTCTGCTTCTTCGTGATCCTGTTCGACCACACAACATGAACATGCCCCTTGATACATCAATTGTCAATTTGGAAACATCACGGGTCTCGACGAACACTTTCCGTGGATTGAGGAATACAGGATTTCGTTTCTGTATATGATGGCAAACAACCAGACTTTATCCAAATGGCGAAAGAGAAGGTCCAATTAGTAGTTGGAAAGCTCGACGTTGGAAGAGTACCCACAGATCCAGTAAAGGAGAAATGGACAAGGACACGAAGAGTGAGAGTTGAGAATGGAGAGAATCAAAGCTCTGAAAGCCTCGCTTGAAATGAAGGTGAATTCGAGGTCTTTGAAGGTGTTGGTCACGACTACAAAGGTGTTTTACACGTCGTCCAGCCATTCTTGGAGAGATGCCTAGCGATTTCCACAAATGAAGGGAAAACATAGGCACAAAACGTTGATCAGAAGTCCATATATCCATTTTTCCGGCGTCTTGGAAGTCACGATACTTCCAAAAATGTAGGCCCCATTAAATAGTCATTTTAATATGATCTGCTGATTAAGCCGTCACGTTCGTCTCAGCACCAATGCTTTTGTTTTTGCATCACATTCTTTTTTTGCACTAGCTTAATGCTTCTTGGATAGTTCGGGCAAGATCTTCGATAGGCTCGAGTAGAAACAGCAGTAGCGATAGACTTTCTTAATGCAGCACTCTAGTTCACTGGCTGCAAAGTTCCCATCATGGTCGCAAATACCAATCGACATAAAACTCGACTTACTGCATTGGCTTCCTTCTGGTATCTCCAAGCAAAGCGGACTAGCAAACCACGAATACTTATAATTATTACTATAGCTCACTTATCTCACTCGTTCATTTAGGTTTACTTTGGAGGCTGCGAACGTTGCAACGAGAGATGAATGAACTCGTGCAAGATGTACTGAAAACGAGAATCCGGTCACTTTCACATAATCCAGCTAGTATTAAACAGATTGGCAACCTGTTTACGGACTGTAATATGGGCGATGTCAAGCTAGTTGCCCTGTGGAGAGAGGTTAGCTTAGCGGTAATACCGCCGTTAATTATTGGGGAAGTGCTTCAGGCATTTGCTGAAGCTCAGGCCGAGGCCGATCGCAAGGTGGAAGGTCTAGATTTACAGCCAGTAACGAACTTGACTCGTCGAGATCATGCCTCGTTTGTTGTAAGGCCAGCGAAACGAACAGGAACTATCTTGAATACCCTCAGTTTAGGTATGTTCTCAACCTTGTATAGTACCATTGCCACTGCCTCTGATATTTGTCTGGATAGATGCACCAACCTTACGGGAAGTGATAATGAATTTAACCACGGGTCAGGATGGAATTGTGTTTGGTTGGGGTTTGGGTGCCTTGACATCCGCGAGAATAGCCAACTACCGGATGGCCCTCAAAGTGCTGATAGTGCACATAAATTTGTCATGCTCAGATTTGCAGGTGTTGATGAGGGACATGTTTGCACGTTGGCAACGGGCACTCAGAGACTATGAAATCCTGGCGCAGGACTCGACGTGGTTGGAATTAGACAAGATCACTCTCAGAGAGGAATTCTCTGCAATATCCTTGTCTGGGTGCATGGAAGCCTACAATGACATGTACCGCGACCTGCTGACCGAATCACAGCTCATGGAGCTGAACGCAATCTCCGGACTGTTGGGAATTCGCTGACAGGGTTGATTTCGTACATCTCTGAGCTCGTAGGAATTCGCTGACGCGGTACCGTGTCAGATATCATATAATTTCATCTTCATCCTTTTAGCCAATTATAATCATATTTAGATCGTTTATAATATCCTAGTGAGCCGTAATATGCTCTAAATTACATAAATATATCCTTGATACCCCGCTTGAAACAGAGAAGCAGTGATGGGTTAACAACAGACTATACTTCCAGTCTATCAATCTTACCCATGTCTGGAACGAGAGTTCTCGTTTATCATTGAATATGACCAAAGGAACTCGTCCAAATCCCGACGAATCTATGATTGAACCCGAGAAAAGCTCGTTTCCGTTTGGTGTTTATTCGAAAGAAGGGAGGCAAGTTGTTTTAATTGTTGACATGTTTGTTTGAGGAGACACGGGATTTGGAACTGGTGCTCACATTTTGCGTAGTCATTGATCTGTTAGTCATTGATCTGTTGTATAAATATCTGATCTGCTGCATTTGAGCCCTTGCCCTGCAGTTGTCATGAAGCTTATTGACATCAACATTGCCGACATTGGCAACGTCAACTCCTGCAAGCTTCCAACATCAGCTGTCGTCTACAAGTGCGATTCTAACAATATTCATTCACGTAGGAAGCACGTATATCGATACGGAATCATCGTCAACGAAGACGGTTATGATTACTTTGAATTCACTCCAGAAAAGTCATCCAATCTACTCTTCACTTGCTTTTATCTGGTCGACGGCCATGGAGAAGTAAAACTCACTCAAGCTTCAGCAAAGACCTGGACAAAGTCTCCAGCAGAACGCTACGTTGATCACCTTCGTCAATGTATCTCGCGAGTCGTCAAGGCGCTTGTCAATCAGGTCTATGAATCTAGTCAGCAAGATGGTGCCAACAACAGTCTCTGTAAAGGTATTGCTCAATCTCTATGCAGCATTTACGTGGAAATCAACCAGGATCTCTTACAAGTATGTCCTGATCTCGTGCGCGAAAACGGTGCTACTCTTGTATTGGGGTTTGTCATTCAGGAGGAAGGAATACTTCTCGACGACATGCTGTTTGCTTCTGTCGGTGATTCAAGCATGATGCTGGTTGATGCTGATAAAGGCATACCGCTGAAAGTGTGGAAGCGTGATATTGATAGTCTGCCAGCTACATGCTCTTGGGAAGGCAAGCGAAGTTAGGGTAGTGAGTTACGCCAGCTTTCTCAAAACTTCACACAACTAGATACTCTTGCTTCGTTTCCATTCGCAGTCAAGGAAGGACAGACACTGGAAAGATTGAAGGAAGACTTTCGAAGTGTTGGCTCTTTCTGCCGGCCCAATACGAACAGCAAAGGTGAAAAGGGTCACAGTCTCTTTTCACCAAGAAGTCCATACAGGTGAGCTTGCGAGCCTTGAGTATCGGCTTTCATCAATTTGACAGATGCGTCTTTAGCTTGAATATGATCAACACGCTCGGCAATATGAATCACGATGGCCGTTTATTGTCCAGAACAAATGTGTATAGAATACCCACAAGTCTCACCACAGAAATTCCAAATCTTGTCGCTGTTTTTTGCTCTGATGGTGTGAAGGATCAGATGCAAGCTGAAAACATTGCAGCCTTCTTCACTTCGATTGATCAAGGTGATTTTTCCAGAGTATCCTTTATCTCGTGGCTGATAAGCTGGAACGCCTGACACGTTCCAATTTCAAAGGGCTTGCTCATACCGGTGGAATACCTCGCGAGGAGGCTGGATTTATAGATATTGATGAGCTCTTTCGAAAAGTGGGTCGTTTTCCAGCGATTTCATTCTCAATTTCAGTTTTTTTAATTGGTTTGCATAACTTAGGTGCGACCAGTTGGTGTCCTCGAAGACGCTAGTGATGAAAGAGCGGCTAGAGAAATTACGGAAGCCGCACAAGCGTGTGATGATGACGGCATCAATTTGCCGGCCATATGCACGGCGCTGGTACACACAGCTATAGCACGAAGGTCGTTTGATGATTGCACCGTATTGGCCGTGAATCTCTCACAGCGGAATTCATCACGCCAGTCGACTTACGAAGCATCGCATCTGCCATCACGCATAAACGATAAGATTGAACCAGTGGTTGTGGTAGTGACGTCAGAAGAAACTGCTATTTTCGGCTCCACATCCACAGTGCAAGTACAATCTGAAACTGTTACCGAAGTGGTCCCAGGAAGTACCACTGAACAAGTATTGAGCTCTTCGATACAGTATGATATTCCAGAACCAGTCAAGGCTGCAGAGAAGGCTGAAGCATTCAGCTCGTGGACCCAGCATGATAGTGTAGAACCAGACACGTCTCAAGAGAAGGCTGAAGTACTGAGCTCTTTGACACACTCTGATGTTGTAGGACCAGACAGCTCTGAAGAGAAGGCTGAAGTAATGAGCTCTTTGACACACTCTGATATTGTAGAACCAGACAGGTGTAAAGAGAAAATGTCTGCTGATTTGTCTTTAGAGAGGAAACGAATGCTTGATGAGAATGACGAGCAGGAGATACACGCAGCTGGTCAGCAGAGCCCCGACTCTGAAGCCAATAAGAAACTCAAAATCTGAAGCCAATAAGAAGTACTCAGGATATAAAACGTCAAAAAACAAAATGTAGATAGAGTTTGCATGATTGTTTGATAAACTGTGTTTTTATTATCCCTCTATATAGTGCAAAAATAGATCTAAATTTTTCTCAAAGCTTGTATTTAATTGGAGCATTGAGACCTCCTTTGGCTTCCCAGTCTTTCAATTGGGTCCTCAACTCTTCAGCGAATCTAAGGTAGACATTGCAGTTTTCCTTGATGTGCTTGCTCTCGTTCTCACTAAGAGTCCTAACGACTTTTCCGGGTACACCCATAACCAGCTAAATTGAGTCACTTAGTCGTTATGGACAATGTCTTTAAAACAGACAATATTCCAAACAGAATGATCCGTAGCTTACACTGTTTGGTGGAATCGTCTTGTTCTCGAGAATGAGAGTACGTGCGGCAATCAAACAGTTGTCACCTATGACGCTTCCATTCATGATTGTACAGTGCATTCCGACCAACACGTTATCTCCAATGGTGCACCCGTGAAGGATGGCATTATGGCCGACTATTGATGCGAATAAACAGATTCAGAGATGTTCGAAAGAGATCAAGCTTCCAGGGGAAAACATACTTGAGCTTCCTTTTCCTATGTAATCGGGTTTTGATCAGCCAACGAGACGAGAGTCGAACAGCTGTAATAGCAATGCTTTACCAACAGTTAATGGACCACCGAGATCTGGATGACATGAGACATTGTCCTGCATGGTAAGAACGTTTGAATCAATGTGCTCATCACCACGTTGCAGAGTTCATACCTGGATGTTGGCATTGTCCTTGACAACAATTGGCATCAGATCAGCTCTAAGTGCAGCTCCTGGCCAGATAGAGACATTCTTGCCTAGAGTAACCTGCAACGAGAAAACCAAATCAGCAAGCCGATGACGTGGAGGATCAAAAAATAACGTCGAAAAGCACTGACTTGGCCTAACAAAGTCGCTGTTGGAGCTATGACAGCAGACTCGTCAATGACCGGCTCATTGCCAAAGAATTTCAGTATTACGGGCATCCTACGGGATTTTCAGGTTTCTGGTCTGGCAGCAAACGCAAAAGACAAGAAAGAAACAGTTAGAATCGGGACCGTGAGTGGAGAAATCATCAGATACTGAAGTCTAGGGTACACTTTCTTAATCGCGATCGCTCACGTACCATACAATAGCAAGGCAGTTCAGCAGTTTTTCGTGTTTTGTTTGGGCTGCTGGTATTTCTTTCGTGTCGAACGTGGCATAGAAATCGTAGGAGGAAAGGTAAAAACTCGCGTCTGCTTAGTGCACCTAGTAGATCCGTTCCAAAACTGGAGGCAAGGCATTCGTTCAAGGACTCACATTTTACCCTTGCAAATAACACCGACAAACTAGTGAACAAGGACGAGGAGCTACCCGCGTGCACCTGAACTTTACTGCTGTCATCATCCAAGCATTCCTCTAGGATGGCTTTCAGTAAAGATGGGCTCAAGGTGTTGGAATCCATTGCCGACACAGTTTTTGGAGAACTGTCGGCATCAGATACTGCTGAACTGGTGAATTTATACGCTAGATCTAGTAGAGGAACTCCAAAGTACGTCGGAAAACATTCCTTTTTTGTACTTGAGATGCAAGTTCTCGTGTCCAATTCCACCGCCTCACGTACACATTTTTCAAACACAGAGCCTCTGTCAGAAGTTTGGAGGATATGGTTGCTTTTTCAAAGCTCAAGGCTTCGGATTTCGATGTAGTCCAGGATCTTGTAAAGAAATTGCAAATGTTCTTGCCGAAGACTACTTTGATGGGCATGAGCTTCATATTGTCAATGCTATCCACCTCTGCGGGCAATTACATGTTGACTGGATATGCTCAACCATTTCAAACAATGAGCCTGGAAGACCGCACTGGAGCTCTGCGCTACCTTGGTAAAATTGGTCGAAAAGGGACCTTCATTCCTGTCATCGACAGCACTTTAGCGGCACTGGTAGGTGTTGAGCTTTCTTTCTGTTCTACTGCAGCACTCTCATGAATCCTTTTCGATGCCTAGTTTATGGGATTTACTGCTGGTATTAGTCTGTCTGTCTACTCTGTATTGAACGAGAAGCGAGAGAACCCAGGTATATTTGGTTGGAAGGAATTTCCAGAATTCTACATTCGTCCTAACCAAATTCGCTTTACGTTCATCCAGTCTGGAAGGCCATTGGGTTTCCTGGTGCTGATCCAGTAATCTTTGAGCGTTTGGCTGGCAGATCGGCATACCCTACTCAATATCCCTTCAAATTCTTGGATGTTCAAGGACACAACAATAGCACTGTCGTACTTCATTATGATGCCGTAGTGATTGGAAGTGGCGCTGGTGGTGGAATTGTCGCTGCGGAACTCTCAACACAAGGCTTGAAAGTACTCGTTCTTGAAAAGGGTATTCTCTTTAAGCCGGAAGACATCACGACAATGGAAGCAGATGCATTGCCGAATCTATATGAGAATGGAGGTGTGGTTTCTACAGAGGACGGGAATGTTGGAATTCTGGCTGGCAGCAGTTTTGGTGGAGGAACTACCATCAGTGAGTAACTACTAGCTTTAACGTCTGTAGCAGTCGGTAAGAAACTGATCTCAAAATCGACTAGACTGGAGTGGAAGCTTAAAGCTACCACAATGGGCTCGTCAAGAATGGGCTGACGAACATGGTCTCCCATTCTTTGCCAGTGCCGAATACGAAAAGAATTCTGTATTAGTATTAGAAAGAGCTGGAGTGTCCACAAAACACATCAAACATAATGGATCAAACCAGATCTTGATTGATGGATGCAACAAACTGGGACTCCCAGTTCACGACATTCCACAAAATACTGGTGGTCACACGCATTCTTGCGGGTTCTGCCATTACGGTTGTCCCGCTCAAGAAAAGCAGGGCGCTGTTGCTACATGGTTGAAAGATGCTGCCAATGCTGGTTGCCACTTCTTATTGCGTGCTAATGTGCGCCATGTAATTCATCAAAACGGCAAAGCTGTTGGTGTTGATGCCCTTGTAACCACTAAAACTGGGACTGCAAGAGTTGTTATTAAGGCTCTAACCGTAGTCGTGTCGGCCGGATCGCTTAATACGCCTGCCATCCTGAAGCGCTCGGGTCTTAAGAACAAGCACATTGGAAAGCACTTGAGGTATGCCGGTTATAAAAAAATTCGGAACGAATGATATTTTACTTACTTTGATCTCGTTTTAGATTACACCCAGCTATCGGCGTAGCTGCTGTCTTCCCCGACAGAGAAGTCAGGGGCTTCGATGGATCCATTGTAAGTACAGCGAAACAGAAAACAATTAAATGTTACAAGTCTAAATTCTCTACTTAGATGACTGCATGCTGTGACGCTGAAGAAAATCAAGATGGAAAAGGGTATGGAATGAATCTCTCGGAGGCACTTCATTTTCCTCCCCCTAACTCTTCTTCCTCGTTAGCTACGGAGTGCGAATCGAAGTGCCTGTCCATTTCCCTTCCATTCTCTCTACGTTGAGCGTGTGGAGAAGTCCTTTGGACCACAAGTCATTCATGTAACGAGTTATTGTGTTGTGCGCCTGAGAAACGAATGAACCAACGGGGTTTTTTCTTCTCCTTGTAGGATGTTCATGGACAAGATCTCAATGATCGTGCTGCACTGTCGAGAGCGATACTCTGAAGGTGAAGTCAACATTGACAGCGAAGGAAACCCGTTGTTCAAATATACATTGGATCCAGTAAGTGTTGGTTCCGCCTGCATTTCCTCAGATGTACCAAAGAAGCTCACCCACTTCTCAATGACAGCATGACGCCAAACATTTGACCGCTGGTCTAGTCGCCTCAGTCAAGATTCTCGCTGCTGCTGGAGGACAACAGATCACCACATCGCAATTACGCGTAGATCAATACAAGAAGGATTTCGATGATTCAAGAGATACTCTGGAAACTCCTGAATTCCAGAGGTATGTGAACGGTGTCGCTACGGAAGGAATCAATATGGGATGGACACGAATCTCTTCTGCCGTAAGTTTGAGAACAATCCCATTGAAGAAAATCTTTATCCACTCATGCACATCATCAATAGCATCAAATGGGATCATGTAGATTGAGCTCAAGTCCTGAACGAGGTCCTTTGGATCCTGAAGGTCAAACTTGGGAGGTCAAAGGGCTCTGGGTGGTGAGTGTCTTGTGCCAAACCTTTTTTCTTAGTTACAGCGCCTGAATTCTGACTGACTCGGTATATCAATAGGCGGACGCCTCCACCCTCCCTACTGCATCTGGAGTGAATCCTATGGCTACCGTTTGGTCGATCGCTTACTCGATTGCCCAAAACATCAAACAAGGCCTCAAGGTCACTGATTCGCCTTCTGCCTCTGCCTCTGCTTCTGCTCGATTATAGTTTGTTGCTGTTGTTTTATGTGTTTGTACAATGTTTATTTGGGGATTTAGTTATTATAAACAAGTGATGTAGTCACTATTTCGGCCATGAGTGACGCGTTTTGGTTGGATTAGGTATTTAAAAAAGCGAAATTGTGTACTGCTATGAAGCAGGTACATGCAGTGGATATTACAGATGAGGTCACAAAGTTGGTTTTGAGATCTTGGACAATGAGGGATTTTTGAGGGAAACAAAGAGGTGGGTTGACAAAATGGAGTTAAAGACAATGTGTCACTTTCTCAAAAAATGAGGGATTTTAAAGGGAAGCAACAGTTTGGTTTCGAATAATTGAGGAATTAGGACAAGAGGGACCAGACACCTGGCTCTTAAACGTGATGTTCACCCATAGGGGCGCTGGCAACGATGGCAGCTTTAGCAGGTGGGGCAGTTGTGTTGACTTCCTTGTCATCAGCGTCTTCCTTGGCGACAGTTGATCCAGTCATTGTACTAGTCTGGTTCAATAGACGAGCCATGTTCTTGATAGTCACGGCCTTCTTTCCATCAACAGCTGAAGTCTTGGAGGCCAGTTCACTGAGGTAGGAGATACCAGTAACACGACCAATGAAGGCTGCGACCTTGAAGTATTTGGCCATGGCTCCAGCACCAGTAGCAAGAGCAACAAAAGCGAAAAGGGTTGCGAACAGTGAGACTACAAGTGGAGAAAAGGAATTGCAATGTAAGCGTTTGTTTTAGTTGAGATTGGACGAGACAGCAACTTACAAAATACTCCGGTGATGGATTTAGTATAAGCCCAGTCAACTAGGAGGGAGAAGTAGTATATAGTGTTTGGGTTGGTGCTGCCATTGTTGTAGAGGTTGTAGTAGTAAGAGTAGGTAACAACGGAGCCAAACATAATGTTGGCAACAGTGTTGAGGGAGGAAGTCAAGACACCGAAGCTACAAACGAGAGGTGAAACAAGGATTAGCAAAGTTGGTCAACCTGAAATTTGAACAAATTTTGGTTACTCAATAGCTACGAAACGGGCTAGAAGGGCAACACCGGCAGTCTTTGATCCGTGTAGATGCTTGGTCTTGTTGCGGAGAGTGATGAGCTTGACGACACTTGAGGCTAAATTGAGTAATAAAAATGAGAACTGTGTCGAAAGAATGGTGTCGGAACGGCTGCACCACACAAACATTTGCACTTACTTGCGAGGTATAAACGGAGGATGAAGGTACAGGTCATCCAGACACCGTAAAGGATGTAGACAACTGCAACACAGACCCAAGATAATGAGTAAGAAAGATTTTTGTCATCAATGATTTAGACACTGAACTCATACTTGAGGCGTTGATAGTGGGCAACCAAGATCGACCACATCCATAAACATTGGGAGAAACATATGAGACTGGAATGGTAAACAAAACCCAGAGGAGGGGAATGCCGTATCCAAAGCAGAGGTATCCAATGTTCCACATCATTTGAATACGCTTGGAATCGTGTCTATGTAATGTATGTGGATAACATTCGATAAGCTCGATGCTCCCACTTGCAGGATATGACATGGAATCGTATAAAGGCATCATGAGGACTTACCGCAAGTGGTTGTGAGGACCTTTGCCGTTGATAGCCATCCAAACTGAAGCAGTGTAGTAGTATGGTAGTGGGGGAA